GGGGGGGCGGTGGATTTCGTATGTTTCGTAATTTATCTTCTGCAACACAATAGTCATTGATCTAATCATCAATTACAAAAAGATGACTTAATGTACAAAACTATCCTGGTAAAATTTTATGAAGTACAGAATAAGAATTCAAGACAGGTGAATTCATGTGTCCTCTTGTTTCATTACTAAATTACATATCCCCAGTTACAAGCATTCTATCTTGAGTGAATGCAAAGGAGAAATAACAACTTCAATGAGAGAAGAATTACTTTATTAGTGATCATAAGTAATAAAGTTGGGCGTGGTATTAGGAGTAGTAAAAATAAACGAGTATTTTCATGGAAAAATTATAGGAGATTACAAAGGAACAGTTCATTTGAGAGTGAAATCATTTTAGGGCCAGAAATAATTGGAAGTTGTGAGGGTGGACACAAAAGCAAGGTTTCAGATTTGCTCTAGCAAGAAAAACAGAGAGAGGAGTAATTTGTTCAATCTGATTTTATTTCCACTTTGAACATAAGTATATTTAAAAAAAAAAAGAGAAAAAAAAAGCGTGCTAGAAGTTATGAAATTGAGTCATTTGTAATTGATTCGAAAGTCATAAACATAAAATTAAATGATGCGATGGAACATGAAATTCTAAATCGAAGAAAAATAGTTTATCATTTTAATAAGAATTTGTTTTGTTAAGTCAAATATCACAGATGAGAGCCATATAAAAGAATCCAATGCACTTAAACTTTGTTTTTAACACTGAGAATGACGAAACTTCAGTTTCAGTGGAGTAAATCAAAATACAGTTTCAATGCTTCAGAACAAAATAAAAAAGTGAAAGAGAAAAACTGAGAGGAAAGGAGGAAACCTCTTCCCATTAAAAATATTTTGACAATTCAAACATCGCTCCGAAACCACCACAAAAGAAGCTCCTGTTTCATAAGATCTGCTTTCTTAAATTTAGACATTATACCTTGAACCTTAAAATTAAGACATTGATTCTGGAGAAAAGACTCTTTAACTTCCTCATTTAAATTACCATAGTTGATCTATTCTTTAAAGGAGGTCTCAGTGTTTTATAGTTATTTTAAATCAATCGTTGATTGCATTCAATTAAGAGCTAAAAGAACAGAGAAAATTGTATAATAATGACGGATCTCTTGTTAAGGTTACATTAATCCCATTAAGTAATACAGTAAAAAAGTATCGCCACAAAATTACAATAAAGGAAATCAAATTATTCATGAAATAAAGCTAACAAAACTTAAAAAAGGCTGAATAGATTTCACTAAATGCTTGGGCAGCCTATCCCAAAGTTGCGCTCCACAAGTATGATAAAGAGACAAACACATTGATGCGAAGACTTATTTTACAATTAATGCATAGGAGTTATCCATAATTAAGTGAGCAAATAAATATGAACTTAACATAGGTATCATTTAGGAGTAATAGAACTGAGAAACGTAAAAATTATTTGAAAGTTTACAAGAGAGGATACATCGAGGAATATGTAAGAATTTACAATACAGCTGAGGTGAGGTAAAAAAAAAGGCGAATTTCAAAGGGTGGCTTTGTCGTTTGTAGCAGTCAAAAGAGACTCTAGGTAGACCAATTGTACGGGTTTATGTAGCCTTAACTGTTTCAGAGCTTCTTCCATTGTAAACCATTTTCTTTGACGTCCTGTGAACATAAAAAAAAACTAGTTGAAAATAATTATCAACACACAATAGACAAAACAGCAGGAATATTTAAAATGAACTTAAAATACTCCAGGATTAAAAACAGGAATTATAGCCTCCAAATTTCATATTGCGAGTAGTTTTCACTGGGAAAATTTGACTCTTTCTCTAGTACAAGTTAAGGATAAAAGAAGATCTGTAACAAGAATGAATGAGGGGATTTCTACCGATCTGTCTATCACAGATTTTTCAAATAAAAAAAGGTAAAACCAGATTAAGACCTGCAATTATTTGATGTGTGGCCATTCTAAATTTGGACTTAGATGGCTGGTGCACTGCAAATACTGTGGAAGGATTGCGCAAATAATAAATGCATTATCTTCTTCACAGAAGCCACAATTCATGACAGGTTCCTGGTGAATTATCTTAGCTGTGATGCTATTATATTGAATCGGTAATGTTAGAAGATAAAAATTTCCCAACATTTGATCAGTCCAAACAAAATGATTGGATAATCAAGTGTCAAGTTGAGGTAAATCGTAGTAATTAAAATAAATTTTTTCAAGAGAAGATGAAGAAGGTGTATCAGTAGGGGCATGGTTTCGGCTAACTCTGAATATCCTCAACTCCACAATTGAGGCACTGGATGTGAAAAGAGCACTTCTCGGTTGCAGTGTTTCCGAGTCTCCTCTAATAATTTATTCATTGTGAGGAAAGTGAATGCATCAATTTCACTACAAATTTCAATGAATATTCCTTATGATTCTACAATTTTCTATGGAAAGAATTCTGCCAAAATCACCCATTAATTCTTCTCCAAGGGATTAATTAGCAACAGAGATTCTGAAACACTGCAATCGAGAAGTGCCCTTTTCGCATCCAGTGCCTCAATTTTTTGCTAATTGAAGGTCTATATTTGACAGGATGCATCATGATTCGGTTATTTTCAATCTCTTTTTGGGTCTAATCCTGACCTAACCATTGGCCTGAAGGCCGAATTAGGGAGCAAATGCAGGGTTTGTGGGTTTGCAGTTGAATGCCCAAAAAATACACATTTTTCACCCAAATGAGCTTTCGGACCAATGTTTAGGCTATTGTTATACCTGAAAAGAGACCAGAAATGATAAAATCATCATGTGTGTCATAAAAAATAGACCTTCACCAAGCAAAAAATTGTAGGGTTGAGGAAATTCAGTTGCGTTGGGCCCAAAAATGGCCCTCTTTGATACCCCTCCTTTTTAAATATTGTAGAGCCCAGACATAAGTTTGAGAGGGTAGTCACGAGTCACTAAGCTATCAGTCTACCATTCCAGGATGCATATTGGATGATGCAGGATGATTCATATTTTGTAGCTCAAGTTGCGGAAAACTTTAATTTAAATACTGATTTCCCACCCTTCTTGTGATGGTTTTCACATTTACTTACGTTCGCAGTTGACAACATTAGTCGGGCATCAAATGATGATGAGACCAAACTAGGTCTCTGAAAAACTTTCTGAAGAGTGGCTTTTCCAGATTCACTGAGATTAAAAGTTTTTAGAGTATTTTCTGAAGAAAATGCACAATTTTTGGATTTTAATTTTACTGGAAACATTAAGGCACAGTGCGTGTTCCCTAATTTTGAAGTGCTTGAATTCAAGAGGTGATTCTAAGAAAAATCTGATACCCTTGGGAAAATCTTCGCATTAAAAAAATAACTCATGTATTCGTGGTTCGTGCAGCCTCAAGATAAAAAAATTAAGCACTTTTATCAGAATTTTCAAGCACTGTTTCATAATTTTTTCCTTAGCGCACAGTTTCTTCCCCGTATCATAGAACTTTGCTGCATCCACAAATCAATACTTTTCTGTTGTTTGGGAGGTTTTTTTCCCAAAACGCCGAGCGTTTTCTGGATGTTTTTGCCCTTCCAAGTGATTTTTGATAGCAGATTCGCCCATCATTACAATTTCAAAGGATTATCTGCAAAATACTTTCATTATCATCATACTCTGAGGATCCAATCTTTATAGTTATCATTGGACAACCATTAGTCATTGAAGAAACAGCCACCCGGCATGCCACTTTTTTGACATTAAACCACCAATGTTCCAAGTAAAATTGGGAAAAAATCATAAAACGAATTGATATAATAATTTCCTGACGTAAAATTTCAATTCTGCGTGTAACTCGGAAACCGTTCCTCCTGTCATCTTGAAAGTTTTTGCTGAGCTTTAAGTTACTGTAAGCTTCAATTAAAACTGGGTTCAATGTCCAAATCGGCTGCCCAAAAATCAGGCCACTTTTTGGAGAGCTTCATAGAAAGTTTGTGCAATTTTCAGCTCTGAGGGGTAACTTAGAGCTTCCAAAATTTACCATTATTAGTGTTCTAGTACTTCAAATAACCATATATAAGGGACCAAGTTATTATAACTATTTTAGAAAGGATGTGTCTCATTAAAGAGGGTACTTTGGCCCTAACTTAGGTCGAAAATTGAAACAGCTTAGAATAATGTCATGTATGGTCAAATCGACTCTTCATCATCCACCCTGAGAAAACTTGTCCTTATTTAAGGTGTTTTTGAAAGGTTTTTACCTGCTGTACCAGCGCAAAGTAGTGCAGTTTTCTCGAATAACTGCTCATTTTCGGTCCTAAATTAGATTGTTTATGTATGAGCGCAAGCGACTACCACTTTCTCCTTTAGATATGTTGTAATGAGTGTACTAAAGATTAACATATTCAAATATGAAAGTGGTAGTCGCTTGCGTTCATATATAAACAATCTAATTTAGGACCGAAAATGAGCAATTATTCGAGAAAACTGCAAAACTTCACTACTTTGCACTGGTAAATCAGGCAAAAACCTTTCAAAAACACCTCAAATAAGGACTAGTTCTCACAGGGTAGATGATTAAGAGTCAATTTGACCATACATGACATTATTCTATGCTATTTCAATTTTCGACCAAAGTTAGGACCAAAATACCCTCCTTAATGGGACACGTCCTTTCTTTACAGTAATGTAACGGGACTTCCTGCCGGTAGTTTGCCTATTTTAGCCCCAAAATACCTTTAAATCAAGTTTATTAACCATGAGTTCAACAGAATGGTTTTCTTTTTAGCTTCAATGACTCGGTAGACACTATAGTCCAAGAATCTGAAGAGTTTTTGCTTTTGACTCGTCGAAAAGTTTAAACTCGTTCAGGCAAACCATGCCAGGAGAATCTTACAAAAAATCGGCGAAAACGCATGATTTGGCGCCACTTCGAAGGGGGAAAGGGGTGTTTTAAAAGTGATGAAGTACATGGTGTTATTTTTTTGTTGTGAAAAAGTGTGTTACCTCAAAATAATTCAAAGCTGTAGTAACAATTTGGAGGGGAAAAAAATTCGCGATATGATGGGAAAATGCGATTTTTCAAATTTCTAAGTTCTCACTCGGGAACTTGTCAGTTGCTGCGGCACCATTTAGAATGATCCGATCCGGCTGAAATTCTTTGTAGGTTCATTTCACACCAAATGACAAGTTTTGGGGGATCAAACCTTTGATTTTCGAAAAGTTGCAAAATCAGAACCACCCTATTAAGGTCCTATCAAGGCCTTGAAAAATAGATTCAAAATCAAGCACTTTTCAAGCACTTTTCTAGGCCGCACGAACCATGGTATTTATTTCCCTGGTTAATTTGAAATTTTTCGACTGTAACCATTGGATTTATCAGCTTTGAAAGTCAAAATAGTAAAACCACATCACATGATAATTCGAGATTGCCGCACACTCTGCAATTTGAAAAGGTCATGGTGGCTCCGTTTTGGAAGCAGATTAAAGAAATTGGCAAACAATATCTATAAAAATAGGGGCATGACTTCAAAATATAGTGTAAATAACCGTCCTGCTTCAAATAATAGACCTCCTTCAAAAATCGAATTATTTCTAATTTCCCTTAAAACTGTTCCCCGTGATTTGAAATCTTGGGGACTCACAAACCCTTTAATTTAAAGAAAATTCTTGGTCCTTTCGGTTTCAAATTAGCAAACCACCACTATAACGATTGTGATGAAAACTTGTCTACTACACTTTAATACATGAAACAACTTCCATTGTTCCCCTCTTAGTTACTAATGTCCGTGGGATGCATCGGGTGCTCACTAAGTATTTACTTGACTATCAATAAGAAGTTTTCTAAAAATACTGACCAATGTTGCGAGAGTCCTCCCAATCTGGCAGTTCTTCAGTCACTATCAAAACAAAAACTTGGGTTCGATGCTTCCTGTCATGATTCTGAAACATACAAAGCTTCACTAAAATACAACTGAAATTATAGGAATAGCAATACTGGATAATAATAGTACTTGCCTCTAATAACATTGAGAAGTTACAGCTGCTTCCTTCGCCATCTTTTTTTCACCTGTGCCTGCAAGCTTCCAGACTCACCTTTGTTGAGAGATTGCATAAAAGTTAAGAATGACTTGAGTGAGGAAATGGTGCAAGAGGCTCATGAGGTGATCAGTTGATGACAGTATAAGTTATAGCTCTTGCACAGGTCTTGAAGAAAGTAACTATAGAAACAGTTCCGTACGATAGCTATAATTGAATTTCCAACAATGTAGAGACCATGTAGGTAAAATTAAGACTTCAGGACCACAAATTATGGATTCCTCTAAAATGGAAAATTTAGATTCTCTGAGCTTTCAAGAGAAAAACAACAAAGTATCAACTCCTCAACGATGCGAAAGAAAACTTAAGGGAAACATAGAAAGTTAACAACTATCTTTTCACAATGCATCATATTTACATTCTTGTCTTCTAAAAATTGACCCTGACTGATTGTCAATGTTTAAAGTGTTCGTTCATTTCGTTTTCCTTGGATTCTTTGATACTATTACCCCTAAGTAGTAGAGAACTATATAAGGGTACAAAAGAAATTTAAGTTATGATAAAAATCAGCAGAAGGTACATAAATTTCATTTAATTTGCTATCTGCTTCTCAAAACCTATTGCTCCCTTATTTCCCCCAATGTGTATTGTATTGTTCTAAGCAAAGCAAAAATGTTCGACTTCTTTGGACACTCATTTTTTCAGCTTCAATTTGATATAATGGCTTCACGTTTTTGATCAATTAGAACTTAAAAACCAGATCCTTTTTTTTGCAAAGATCTGCGTCAGCAGCTCATATTCACATCTTAGCGCGCTATCAATCAAGCGATTATGAGGCGTGATTTGTTCACTGCTGTTCCAGAATTTGAAAACTGAAAAGTTATCTACTTGTTCATTTTTATTTTTCTTTAAGAGGACTAAATATGCGCATAAATTTACTGGCGGAGAGGGGAACCTCTTTTGCGATTTATCCATATTCAGAAGTAAGTTAAACAGTGAGCTGTGCTGCATATGAAGGTCGACGGTGTCAGTCGGCAATCACATAACTCATTTGCAGTGTCTAAAAATCTCCACCTCTTTGTCATTTTTTTAAAGGAGAAAAAATTGGCATCATTCCTTGAAGTTTTCGCTGAATTTTTTCACACAGAGAAGAAAAATTATGGCAGTTTTAAAGAATTGCCGCTGAGTAGTTATCCGTCTAAACAATAAAGTATGACAGGAAGTCTGCAACGTTGCAAACTGAGTTATGTGATTGCCGCCTTACACCATTGAGGTGTTTATAAAAGAATTGCGTTCCTTTACAGATACATATGTATAGATTCAAAATATGCTTGTTGGCAAGATGAATAAGATTTCTTTCCATTTGCTTTCTATGTGTTAATTTGCTTTTGTGCTTGCTTCTAATTTTTTTTCTTTCCATTTATTTTCAGCAATTGAACATTTTTTTTTTAAATACTAGGTGAGTGTGGCTTTTATTCTCCCTATTGCATAATTGCAACCCTACCTCAGCATATTTACACAATCCATGGAAGTTAGTTTACAGTATAGATGGTTGCCAAAGTCATGAAAAAGATGTAAGAAATTGAATGCTGATACCTACTCGTACCTCGAAGACACCTAGGCACCGTCCTAGTTTTCCAATGACACCAGCCTCCTCTGCAACTTCTCGGATGGCAGTTACACTAGGCTCTTCTTCTGGCTCGACTCCTCCTCCAGGAACAATCCACTGATCAGGCCGCCTTGATGATGTAACCAACAAAACCTGTAAAAAAAATGACAAAAAATTGAGTAATGATGTGCTGATGATATGCTACGGAATGTTTATGAATGAGTACCAATCAAAAAGTGTAAAGAATTAAGAAAAAATTATTCTTCCTCAAGTAAGTAATAAAATTGTACATCTTTCAATTTTTAGAAAAAATAAGACCAGTAAGAGGTCTCCAGGTGTAGGACTTGTTCAAAAAGCATTTCACAAAGAGACTGAAACTATCTTTGGCAAAAAGAGACTAATGATACGACATTGTTGCTAAAATTGTGTGACCACCCTATTTACAAGCTCTTGCCTGAAAGCAGATCAGTTACAGAGAAGTGAATTTACAGGATGATTTTCTCACTTTATTTGCATTTTTCTGGAGGGCACATACAAACTGTTGCAATTTCAAGGTTTTGCCTGGGAGATCGCACGATCTTAGCACAGTCTTTGTTATTATTATTGCATAATCTTAGCAGCGTAGCAATATTGGTAGTTTCTCTGACGGGATGCAGTTAAGATAGTTCATGGAATGAAAAATAATACTTTCAATAATATTTTTTGGGATTTAAGCTGACTATCTACCTAAAGTTGTTCCAGTGCCGAAAGGTTTGGTAGGTACCCAATGACTGAGGTGTAATTAATTTTCCATCTAAAAGGCAACTCCAAATTTCTAGGTCCAGAACCTGACGAATATTTCATCAACACTGGGGGTTATTTTGCACATCTTGGTGATGTAATTATATGCAGTAGTGACATCTGATGAATTGTTATCAAATAGTAGATAAAAATTCACGCAGGGTCAAGTACGCATGCCCAGCATAAAAGTAACCTTTAAACCATCATTGTTTATCTTCATGCTTGTTTTATTGTTTGCTCCTGTAAATAATATAAGTATAAGTGCCTGAGAGATCTCTAAATTTTTGTAGCATCAGCTCAAGATTACCCTTCCCAACTCTTTACAACTTACGCCTTGATTAATTGTCTCCAATTTCAACCATAGAGGAAGTGGCATTTGTCAATCGAGTTCAAACAGGGTTTGTTGACCTGATGATGTATAATGAATTCCCATGTCAAAAGTCACCAATGCTGCCATACTCTATAATATGTATCTACATTCAGATCAAATGTTGCAAACGTTCAAAATTGGTACCTACATTTCAGCTATTTAAAATGCTCAATTTCTTTTACACTTGATTTGTTCAAAAGCTACCGGATACTTTTTAGGAAAATGGTTTTAAGAAATGAAATCAGGATAAAATATCAATCTGTTGAGTTGATTGTTTTAAAAGTAAAGAAAATTATTGAGTGCTCATGTAATTTGTGCAGGTCCTAAAAGCATCTTTTGAATTCCTCTGACCGCACAATTCCTAATAGATGCAATATACTAGCAAAGAGGGAGAAAACTTTGAAATAAATGTTGAAGCTATAAGAACAGGGAGGGTTAACTATTTTAAATAAGTACCCCCCCCCCCCGATTTTTCGAAGATAACTAAACAAAATTTCTCCAGTGTTATTTAGGAAATCGAGATGAATTTGTTATTTCGAGGTTTCTGATTAATTTTTGCTGGGAGCTAGTTTTCCCTCATCCAAACATAAAGGTAACAATGTCAACTAAAATTCTAATTTTAGATTTTGGGATAGCATATACCTATTTCAGTGTGTTACTGCTTTCTACTACGATGTAGGTAGTTCATTTCTTGCATTATGTATTCCTTTTTTCTTGACTCCGCCCCCTCAGCTTCTTCCAATATTCTGTAAGCTTAAATAGGTACATTCTATCTTGTACTTCTTATTTGTAATGCTGACACAAATCTATAATACTGATGATGACCCTAGCAGTTGAGATGCATTACGTAAGCTGAAAAATTAAGCTTCCTCACCATATCTAAGGGAGTACCTTCCTCCACTCACCATGTTAGTAGATTCAGTATGGGACATAGCAACCTTCCTAAAATAAGATTGTGAGAGAGTAATTCGTAGTGAGTGGAAAGTGACCCTAAACATTGATCAGTCCAGTTTTAGATAAAGTAGAGGGGGCACAAATTTAGTGTTGGAACCTTGTGGTATTATTCTTTGCGGAGAATTACAGTAGATTTACTATTCTTTGCAAAATCCATTGAGTTCCACAGTTTAGGGTGCTGTTTTCATGGCTCAATGAAACTGGATAAACGCTCACATTTCATCAAATAGTAAAACTTCTGAGACACGCTGGGTTAAAAAAAAAATACTATGTCAATAGTTAAATAACTCTGCAAATATTCCGAGTGACATATGATGTCACTCAGGTATACTATCATTCAAGTTGTTCTGAACAGCACTTTCTCAAAAGATCAGTATTTGTTTAGTTAAAAATTCATCATTGATATAACTTGATAGTATTGATGATCTCATGTACTGATTGCCGCAATTTATAACAGGGCAACTAGGCATTCAAATTGATAAAATACAGAGTGTCACAAAACTATGTCTAGTCTCATCTTGCCCCCAGAGAAATATAAGGTTTCAACAGTCAGGCTGCCGTAACAATTTCTCGAGAGATATTTGAAAATCACACCGTATGACTACTACCTCAAGTACGGAATTATTTCCCTCTGCTGTAAACTGCAAATTGGCGGTTTTACAGTATCAATACACCTTGATGACTGTAAGATAAATTTATCTACCTTAAAAAGGGTATGGTTCAAAAATGTATGAACTTGATGTAAGCAGATCTGATGCTGCTGTGGCATTAGAGTGTATGTTTGTCCTGTTAGGTTAGGTTCAGTTAGTACCAAGAGAGCTTTTTTTTAATCTGAACCCAAGACATAAAGACGGAGGGCTAAAAGCAAAAAATGAAGCTTCTTTTCAACCACTTTTACTATTGGCTAGAGGCTTGGCGGCGAAATTGGGACAAGTTAGAAATTCAAATGTAGGGCAGGACCTAAATAAAATTGCGGAAACAAAGTATTTTAGGTTGATTTTTGCCCAAATTCACTTACCCACTCACATTTCTTTAACTTTAGGTTAGCTTTGGTCCGTCGTCGACCGATTAATTTCATTTGGGAGTAACGTTCGTCTAGAACTGTAACGGCCTGTTTGAACCTGCAGAGCCACCATGAGCAGAAGAAAAACTAACTTTATCTGAGATTACTGCCTGTTACCGAGCAAAAGTAGGTGTATTATAATAGGACGCAGTCCCAACTTTCTTAATATATACTTTTAGGCATTTAAAATACGTTTCGAAGAAGAAATGTGGAAAAATCAAGAGGACAAGTTCAAATCAAATTTCCGTTTGCCGCCATGGATTCCCGCGCTCATTTACACACTCACACAAGCACCCAGCGCCAAACCAGGCTTCACTTTTTCCCCGTGCTTTTAGACACGAGCACTCCGTCTTTATGTCTTTGATCTGAACCACAGTAGACCACAATAGAACGCATCACTTTTTTATCGCATTCTACTGGCACGATCCGGTGCATTCCATGTGTTCCAGTGGAACGCTTGGACCACTCTTCCGAGGTAGGTTGAGGTTGGTTCAGGCTGGTTGAACCAACCCGGGCCACTATCATCGCGTTCCATTCGTTTCACGGATAAAAAAAAAGCCCTGAGGTATGTAGTTCGTCTGCAGAACTATGGCTGAAAATTAACTGGCATACAAATGGTACGGGCACAAAAGATTTGGAGGAGATAAGCCAAATTCATTGGGCGTACCTTCTCCACAGCTACATAAACTTGTAAAACTACTGAGCGAGTGCAATGTCATTCACTTTAGCATGCGACAGGAAACAAGGAGAGATCACTTACTTCTTTTTCCAATTCATTCCTGACACAAATGCAGGCAGCTCGGCGCCTGAAACCGTCCTGATCGTAGATTCGGGTAGAATTAGGTTTCTCTTTGACCATTTTGGTGGATAGGAAGCTTACAGTATGAACTAGGAGACAGATACTTGTGAACAGGGGCCGCGATGTTTGAACCTAAATTAGTAGAATGGGGAATTACCTGTGAGATTTAGAAAAAACGGTCATTATGAAGGATAATGCAAGCCATTTTAAAAGTGTAAAACACTGATAAATACGCTCACAGTCGTAGGATAAGCTAGGATTGAGCACTGAAAGTCAGCACCCTTGACTAGGAAGTCACAACAAGTAAAAGAAAGGCAGAAACCATGATGAATTGGGCGACGAAAAGTGTTCGCGGTTGCACTTGAAACACATGAATACAGAATAGAAGTGAAAATTCGATCACGACTAAATTAATCCGGAGAATATCCGCACACGAATGCGAGAAATGCACAGCGGTTCACTGAAAAAGTGATAATATCCAAATGGCGCAAGTGGAGAAAGATAAAGAATGACGGTCGATGGAGAATCGCATAGAGTAAACACAGAGGGTAGTTGGTAGTTGCAAGCTGAGAAATGTATTTTTCTACGTCACAGGTAAAATGAAGCCAGCAGCCATGCAGCTTGAATAAACCTTCTAATTGGTTAACGGTTTCGCGGAAAAATCGAGACCTGTTGAAATTTAAAAAGGAGCGGGAAGTATTGACTTTTTACGTTTCAGTATGTTTTTCTATCAATGAATCAATGTTCGACTGTAACTGAAAATAATTTGTAAGTTAAAAATATACAACACTTCATATAATAACAACTTTTATTTATCTCGACTCGTCCCGTTTTGAAGGTATGACCATGTTAAATTTCGTTTTGCGCGTCAAAAAAAGCAGAAATTGGAGTCATGGTAAATATTGTTAAATTATATGACTTTCAATGTAAGAGTCAGTGGTGAGGTAAGCCTTTTTTCAGGTTCCATCATGAAATGTACTTTTTTTGAACACCGCGCCAGTTCGTGTACATCTTCGAGATTCTCTCTCTCTCTTTTTTTTTTAAACATTGCTCCACCTTTCCCTACTTTTTCCTGCCCTACCTAGAGTACCTTTATAGACAGAGTAGGTATAACCATTCGTATCTTTTTACTACGGGAAAACTGTTCCGCTTTTTTATTGGTCAACGAGTTATTAGGCTTCATGTTGCTCTTACGGCCGTAAATAAACAAACAAGATGGCGGCTCACCGTAACATCGATAAGAAGCTAAATTTGACAAAAATTTCAATTGTACGGCAGTAACAATTTAAACTAGTTTATCTACGAATAACACACGAAAAAAACACGAAAACATTGTTGAATCGCCTTTCACCCTTATCACAGGAGCATGTTAGATGTGCATAACCTCAATCTTGCTTGCTGATAACGGCCATCTTGTTTGTTTATTTACGGCCGTAAGAACATCGTGTCAGCCTATTTTCACGCGACCAATGAAAACCGGAACAGAAATGGCCATACTCTGTCTATAAAGGTACTCTAGCCCTGCCATGCCCCACCTTTCCTTGCCTTGCCCTGCCTTGCCCTACAATTCCCTCCCATGTCCTGCCTTGGGGGCCGGGCAAAGGAGGGCAAGGTAGGGTGCCATGAGGACTCTTATTCTTTTTTTCTTTTAAACATTGCCCCACTTTTCCCTACTTTGCCCTGCCCTGCCCTGTGATGCCCTGCCATGCTCCACCTTGTCCTGCTTTGCCCTGCCTTCCCCTGCCTTCCCCTGGCTTGCCCTGGCTTGCCCTGCCATGCCCCGCCTTGCCCTGCCTTGCCCTGCCATGCCCCGCCATGCCCTGCCTTTCCCTGCCTTGCCCTGCCTTGCCCTGCCTTGCCCTACCATACCCTACCATGCCCTGCTTTGTCCTGACATGCCCTGGCTTACCCTGCCTTGCCTTGCCTTGCCTTGCCCTGCCCTGCCTTTACTTGCCTTGCCCTACCATGCCCTGCTTTTCCCTGCCTTGCTCTACCATTCCCTGACATGCCCTGCCATGCCCTACCTTGCCCTGCTTTGCCCTGCCTTCCCCTGGCTTCCCCTGCCTTGCCCCGCCATGCCCCGCCTTGCCATGCCTTGCCCTGCCATGCCCCGCCTTGCCCCACCTTGCCCTGCCTTTACCTGCCTTGCCCTACCGTGCCCTAACATGCCCTGACATGCCGTGGATTGCCCTGCTTTGCCCTGACATGCCCTGGCTTACCCTGCCTTGTCCTGCCATTCCGTGCCTTGCCGTGCCTTGCCCTGCCTTGCCCTACCATGCCCTGACATACCCTGCCTTGCCTTGCCTTGCCCTGCCTTGCCCTGCCTTACCCTGCCTTGCCCTGCCCTGCCTTTCCTTGCCTTGCCCTAACATGCCCTGCTTTTCCATGCTTTTCCCTGCCTTGCCCTACCATTCCCTGACATGCCCTGCCATGCCCCGCCTTGCCCTGCCTTGCCCTGCCTTGCCCTGCCATGCCCCGCCCTGCCCTGCCTTTCCCTGCCTTGCCCTACCATGCCCTACCATGCCCTGCCATGCCCTGCATTGCCCTGCTTTACCCTGACATGCCCTGGCTTACCCTGCCTTTTCCTGCCATTCCCTGCCTTGCCCTACCATGCCCTGAAAAGCCCTACCATGCCCTGCCTTACCCTGCCCTGCCTTTCCTTGCCTTGCCGTAGCATGCCCTGCTTTTCCCTGCCTTGCCCTACCATTCCCTGACATGCCCTACCTTGCACTGACTTTCCCTGCCTTGCCCTACCATGCCCTGACAAGCCCTGCCCTGCCCTGCCTTGCCTTGCCCTGCCCTGCCTTAGAAAAGAATTCTCCAAGACTTTAAAGAAAGAGATTCCGCAAGTTTTGACGGAAATTCGTATTTAATCGGAGGGAATTTGGCAGCACCCGGGTATTCATTCGACGCTTATCAGCGCCTCGGTATTGATATCCCAACAGAAGACAATAATATCAGTAATGACTTTGATTCAACTAATCGTGCTCTATTGATATCCCAGTAGCGGGGCGTGCTTTGCGATTTATCGATTAATCTGCCATTTAATCCTATGAAAAAGCTTCAACTAACAAGGGTGATCGCAATGCACGCCATTAAAAACGATTCTTTACCACGGATTCAGATAGGGAAATATCGATGATCGATCATTCTCGCCCCGCTACTGGGATATTCATGTTGCCTACCAAAAATTGAAGGCGTTCTGATTATTTCAGCCCATGAAGCCCATTTAAAACTATGCAAATATATCGCTCTTGCTGAGCCTAAGTTTGCCGAACAGGAACAAGCTCCGACTCCCAGAATCGATATATTTACATACTTTTAAATGAGGTCCCTTTTGCCCATTTAAAACTATGCAAATATATCGATCTCGTTGAGCCTCGGTTCGCCGAAGAGGATCACCCTCCAGCTCCCAGAATCGATATATTTACATACTTTTAAATGAGGTCCCTTTTGCCCATTTAAAACTATGCAAATATATCGATCTCGTTGAGCCTCGGTTCGCCGAAGAGGATCACCCTCCGGCTCCCAGAATCGATATATTTACATAGTTTTAAATGGGGTCCCTTTTGCCCATTTAAAACTATGCAAATATATCGATCTCGCAAAGCCACGGTTCGCCGAACAGGATCAAGCTCCGGCTCCCAGAATCGATATATTTACACAGTTCTAAATGAGGTCCCTTTTGCCCATTTAAAACAATGCAAATATATCGATCTCGTTGAGCTTCGGTTCGCCGAACAGGATCAAGCTCCAGCTCCCAGAATCGATATATTTACATAGTTTTAAATGGGGTCCCTTTTGCCCATTTAAAACTATGCAAATATATCGATCTCGTTGAGCCTCGGTTCGCCGAACAGGATCAAGCTCCAGCTCCCAGAATCGATATATTTACATAGTTTTAAATGGGGTCCCTTTTGCCCATTTAAAACTATGCAAATATATCGATCTCGCAAAGCCACGGTTCGCCGAGCAGGATCACCCTCCGGCTCCGAGAATCGATATATTTACATAGTTTTAAATGGGGTCCCTTTTGCCCATTTAAAACTATGCAAATATATCGATCTCGTTGAGCCTCGGTTCGCCAAACAGGATCAAGCTCCAGCTCCCAGAATCGATGGGTGATAATCCGCCTTCAATTACAAGCGTATGCAACATTGACAAGTAACAGTACCTAATCCCCCCCTTCCCTCGTCTATCGGCCTATCACCAGCATTCACTGATATCATGCATGCTGGACTGCCTGATTATCCACATTCATCCACATCAACTTTTCTTTTAGATAGATAAATGAAAACCATTGAAAACAAACACAGAACAGCTGATCAGCTGATGTGCGGTGTTGGCGGGAAACGCTGCTGAGGAGCGCGCGTTGTGATTGGTGTGCGTAAGCCGCGCCGAAAAATGAACAGGCCTGAACGAAATACGCATTCCTGCACTTAAGCCCGAGATACGCGAAAAAAGTTCTACGGTTTTAGGTGACTTCCCGATTTTTTTCGATTATAATCTCTTGCTGGTTGATAGACGACATCTTCAACTACACGTTTATGCAGCTAACTCAAAACTGTCAAAAATCGAGTTACGCACTTCTGCACTTTCACCATCGATATGGTGTTTCCTTATTGCATAATGCAGTCAATTTTTCAGAAACATTAACAATCATCACGATGGTTCTCAATTTTTGAAGGTTTATGAGAATTTTACGCAATTTGTAGAGAGCCGAATGATAATTTTAGTAAGTTCAAGTTCAGAAAGGTCTGTTTGGACTACGAGTAGAGAGAAAGCAGGAGAGAGGGTAAAAAGAGAAGGACTCATTCTTATAGCGCATATCATTCTTTATTGGCGACGTTACATGTATTCAACGCGTGTCACGTGTAAACGATGTCACTTGTTGAATTATTAAGTTCATAAAAGAATTGTCATAAAAGGCATGCGCTACACGCCTCACGTGCCACTCTCTTCAAAAGATAAAAGAACGGTACGATATGATGTTAGACAGGTAGTAGATCAGTAAAGCTACCTGGCTGCAATTTTTTGTAATTTTTTCTCAAATTTATCTTAGTCATCTGTGTTCAAAGGAAGTTTACGTTACGCAATAACAAATTTTGTGGAAAAGGTATTCCATTTGAAAAGTTTATCTTGGGACGTTGGTCATTTACTCTGTAATGAGTGCAAACCACTCGTAATTCATTACGTAAATAAACTGGGAACATTCCTCAGTTTAGAATTTTGAAATGAGTGGATTTTCAAGTGCATTGCTAGTCAGTCCGTGGTTTTGATAAGGTGCTACGAAGGTGAGCAGTCTCGTGTAAACAGTTATTTATATCATTTGAAATTAAATTACATGGCACGCTTTGTTTTGTGAACTACATGAATGTGTTAGAGTGTTGAAAGGGCTGAAAAAATTGATTGCCACCAGAAATTTAAGGTAAGCCTGTCGGAGATAAAATATGTCTTGTGGAAATATTTAAGCACTCTTGCATGATGCTAGGGAAGAAATATTTTAAAAAAAATCAGGGATCTACTTGAAAACTAGCCAATTTTCTTCCCGCTCCAATTTTAAAAATTTCCACGGAGGGGGGGGGGGGCATTAGGACGCGTCAAAAAAATTGAAAGTCTGAAATGTTCCGCTCCCCAGGCGGCAATCGATGACGTTTGGTAAAAAAGCATGTTTGCCAAAACTCAACTTGTAGAAGATGAACTTTTACTTCTTTCTTTCTTACTTCTACGAAGACATTTTTGTGAACGATAAAAATCAAATTGAACTAGAAAAACTCACCTCGGTATTTATTTTTTTGGTCCTCAGAATTTCCGAGGTCTCACAAAGTAGCGGTTTAAAAGGCTCATTTTTCACGAAAATAAGTCGAAACAGGGTATAAATGAACTGTAGGCAAGTGTTGAGGATGCAAATGTCATCGGAACTTCCTCAGTTTCAAGAAAAGTTCCAACTATTTTGCACAATCCTCCAAAAAGTGTACGGCTCGAGAAGCAGGATCGTGCTATAATAGTAAGGGAGAAGTGCGGTTTGACCGGGAAAAATTGCGTAACAAACTTTCCCTATGTAATCGTCATCAGTAGGTCCCCCTGAACGACTTCCTAAATAAGTTAAAAATGGTCCGACCCCGGAACACCCCTCAAAGTACTTAAAACTGAAAATGGCTACGGCCGTAATAAGGAGGTCCGGGAAATCGGTATTTTAAAATCCTCATTCTGTCTCATGTGAGGTATCATTTCCTATGTAATTTTGGTCGTATATTTCATAAATGAACTCAACAAGGCCCCCCAGTCAAAGGGGGCGCTCTAAATCAAAGATGACGGCCAAATGTGAAAGGCAGGAGGTTGCATTTTTTTAAATATTCACCAAAGGAACAAGGAAAGTGAAGTGTCTCTATTTTCATGTATTAATGGCCAAGACACCTAAATTTGATGTTATAAATGTAATTAATAAAGGGAATTAAAATAAACATACGAATACGGAGAGAAACGTAAGCTCAGAGGCGTGTACGCACTTTTATGAGTTAATGTGTTAATGTATGTCAACAGATACTCGCATTCAAATGCGGCGTGATACCTCACGCATTCCGGAGAGTTCAAATAGTTGTATCATTGTGCCGTAAGAATGTGACGGAATATTTAAATGGAAATAGCCTCCATGCACGCTGGCCTTTTCGATTTCCGTTAACAATTTTGCAGTCATGAATGCGCTTAAGTGCGCTTCAGCTAGAATTGTATTTAGCAAATGGGTGGTTTTCATAGGAGGATTACTGTTAAACAAGTGGTTAAAAACGGAAACAAAATAATATGAACTATGCAAAACGATTATTCCGATACCGGAACTTGGCTGTTTTGAAAACGCCAGAAAATGCGGCGTGATACCTCACGCATTCCGGAGAGTTCAAATAGTTGTATCATTGCGCCGTAAGAATGTGACTGAAGATTTAAATGGAGATAGCCTCCACGCAAGTTGGCCTTTTCGATTTCCGTTAACATTTTTGCAGTCATGAATGCGCTTAAGTGCGCTTCAGCTAGGATTGTATTTAGCAAATGGGTGGTTTTTCTACGAGGATTAAAAATAAACGAGTGATACGGAATATAACAAAATAATATGAACTATGCAAAACGATAATCCGGGTATCGGAACTTGGCTGTTTTGAAAACGCCTTCAAATGCGGCGTGGTACCTCACGCATTCCGGAGAGTTCAAATAGTTGTATCATTGCGCCGTAAGAATGTGACGGAATATTTAAATGGAAGTAGCCTCCATGCAAGCTGGCCTTTTCGATTTCCGTTAACATTTTTGCAGTCATGAATGCGCTTGAGTGCGCTTCAGCTAGAATTGTATTTAGCAAATGGATGGTTTTTATAGGAGGATTATAATTAAACAAGTGGTTAGAAATGGAAACAAAATAATATGAACTATGCAAAACGATTATTCCGATACCGGAACTTGGCTGTTTTGAAAACGCCTTCAAATGCGGCGTGATACGCATTCCGGAGAGTTCAAATAGTTGTATCATTGCGCCTTAGAAATGCGACGGAAGATTGCAATTGAAATAGCCCTCATGCACGCTGGCCTTTTCGATTTCCGTTATCATTGCGCCGTATGAATGTGACGGAAGATTTAAATTGAAATAGCCTTCATGCCCGCCTTGGGAGCGGAACATTTCAGACTTTCATTTTTTCGACGCACCCTAGGGGGGCATAAAAGCCCCGTGCATATTATACATTACGGCTGGGTCATCAAATTTCCTTAAAAGGCCCCAGGAAGTGTTCTCATCAAAAAATATTTAATGAATGCGCTGAACAAAAGACGCACTTGTAGATTTCGAGATCTGCATGAGACAAACCTGTCAAATTGAGCTGAAAGATAGGTCGTATCGTCGCATTAAACCATGCACCCGAAACTTCATTCCGGTCTGTAATTTCGTTGCAGAACAGCGCTTCCTGCCTTCAGTGTACAGAGTCTTTTGAGATTCGAAAAACTCACGATAAGATTACAGGTAACTACTAAGTTCTTAAATCGTCGTTTCGCTGACAAAAGAACGTGAGTAAATTTTAATGTTGCAGCATTTTTACTCGCAAATCGTATTTTTTGCAGAAATCTGCTCGGCGTCTTTAACTGGAAATATCGCTAGTTCCTCCTTTCATGATGCGCAAAGATGAGCAACTACTGAACGGAGTGCACGCTCGTGCCTTCTTGTGAAAAATTGAATTTGTTCCCTGTGACATTTGTGTAGTTTTAAATCGTAAAAGGTACTTCCAAACAAGGCCACAAAATCTCCTCTGATAATGAGGTCGGAGACGCTGAGGCAACAAAGTCTCCTCTGGTGATGAAGTCAGAATGACTTAATTAAAAGAAATGATACTGAAAATACATGCCTTGTATTTAAAGAGGGGAAAGACAGAGATCCCCTACTATTCACTAATTTTTTAATTTTTCTTTTAAAATTAAAATCATATCAATCCCTCACTTTTTGAAGTTGAGCATGTTTCACTACAAAGTACAAGTTCTTCCTCATCAAGTTACTGAATTTGCGCCAAATCAAAATGATTTACTTTCTTTAATTAAAATAATTTTCAAATCCTAGATACAATTGTTGTAAGTACAACACCTCTCTAGACTAATTAAACTTTTTTCTTCTTTTTTTTTCATTGACTAAATCCTAATATGAGGCGCATGCACGCAAATTAATGGGTACATTGGTATAATACTCTCCGCTTTACCTAAATTCATACAGTTTTATTTTTAGCTGAACGGAACGGACAGAACGTTTCCGTTTACCGCTAGGCGACGTAACAGTTTTTACCGAAAATTGAACGGTTAAGACCTCAATCTAAATGAGACTCTTAATTCCTTATGACTTCCGTCCCCCTGCTCGAGCCTACATTTTTTAATTTTTTCGGTTGTGTAATGAAATCAAGCCGGCAGTAATGCTTATCGTGATTTTTCATGTCTAAACGCCATGAAAAAGGCACGAATACAAATGACTAACATTGACCTCTCACTTTGAACCTCACTTGAACATCATGTTATTGAACTTCACTTGAACATCATACATCATCATCTATTGTCTCTAAGTCAGTGAACATAGTTACCGAATTGTGGTACACTTTTTTTTTTTTTTTTTTTTTTTTTTTTTTTTTTTTTTTTTTTTTTTTTTGAAAATTAGAAATAGAGGTCGGTGATCAAAGGCAAACTCAAATCTGCAGTTTAAAATGAGAATTTTATTGATGGCAGGGGACGAGGGGAACTGCACATTTTTGAAATAGCTGTTGGAGGACAATAGCAAAGTGTTATAAAATTGTAACAATATTGCTCTCTCAGATTTGCTAAGGTTTTTGGTCGTCCATTAAAAAAAAAAGAAAAAGAAACTTACAAATTGATATCATGAGACTTTCTGAAATCCGGGGTGATAACGTTCGCTTCATAATAGTCACAATGAATTGTAATTAAGTTGTTTGTTTTAGAAAAGTTGCTGTACATTTTGCTATTGCGCAAGGTACATAACTTCTGCTCTGATGATGACTACCAGGTCGGAAAGGCTTTAAGCAATAAAGATATTCATTACATAGCTTTGGTTTAATCAATTTAATCAATAATTATAAATTGAGTGGGAAGCGTCTTTAAAGCGCACTTTCTTGTTGTCAAACTCCACTTTGATTTTCAAAAATGTTGTGCGGTCGATGTGAGGGTCCATGTCGTCGTCACAGAGGTCTATTAGTGTTAAGCGGCTACTGACGGTCATAATTTTTTTTTTGGGGGGGGGGGGGGGGGGCTGACCAGCAATCTGTGGGGCCGCGCGAGGGACCTCCTCCAGGTAAGTCCATGTCATAAAGGAAACCACTCGATTCTTTGACATTGTGTATAGCTTTATCCTCATGTCCTTTTTTTATGACGTTAACGCCCATAATTAGTGATTCATGTCTAATCACGTATTTTGGTATGATTTGAAACATTAGGCAAAGCTCAGCGACAAAACTTGTCTTCAGTCTCATGAAAACGGATTCCCAGATATCTATCTAAAACCAGTTTTTTCGGGTGGCCAAAATCCAAGTTAATTTATGCAATTGGAGTTGGCCGCGTTTTACGACTTGTGCAGAGTCAGTAACAATGGGTGCCTCCATGAATGCGTGTACCCGGACTCCGACAGAGGATGCCTCAAAGACAACAGCGAAGAGACATCCATGCAGATCAACATGCGCACAGGCAAGAGAAAAAAAAGTTTCACTTACAAGTAAAAGATATTTAGTCAATGCGTCCTCCTTTATCTCTCTCAGCATCCACCCTAGAGCCAAAAGGTACCTAATTCCATTTTAGTATTTTCCAGATTTGAGGAGAAAACCGCGCGTCGGTCCCATTGATTCCAGTATAAATAGAAAATTTTGAAACTCCGTACCTCATAACTGGCGTAAGATTTCCAAAACGCCACTGACTCGATTTTTCCAAAAATGTGAGTTAGGTATTTTTTGGCTCGGAGGTACTGACATGAATGGAAAGAGAATTGTCTCGTACCTCGGTCTTGCAATAGCAGCGAATCGACGGCTCATTTTTATTTTTAATTTTCCGGTTGAAACTGTAATTGTAAATATTCTGAAACGTTCCGAGTTTTTTGTTTATCCTTTGTTCTTTTTTTGCAGCCTTTCCCCCAAATTAAGTTGTTAATTTTCTTAATTGAAGGGCTTGGAAGACTTAGCCCGTCGCGTAAGGCCTTGGGTTTGGGGGTCGGTCGTCTCAGGGACATCCAGATACGGGCTCAACGAGGCTTCGTCGGATGGGATCGGCCCCCTATTGCTGGGAACGGTATCGCCGGGTACCGTCGACAATGCCCAATCACATCCAAGGCACATATGTGCAGTTTTTGCAATTTCTTTGCTATTTCGAGAAGCACGTGTTTAAAGTTTTGAAATTACATGGATCCTTCAGGGCGGAAAGGAAGTTCAAACTGACTTTTTGATGCCTAAAAATTGGAATTCGGGAGCAAATTTTTCATAGGATATGCATTAAGATTAGCTTTACTAGAAATCATTGATACATAAATTTCCTCAGAAACTGCACTTATGTGCCTTGTCCTCCAATCCCCTCAATTCTCGTAATACATGATTAATTTACAAGGGAGTATATAAAAAATTCCAAGGAATTATCGTAAAAAGTGAAAGTGAAAAAAATCGAGAAAAATCTTCCTCTTCTTCCACGGACTGTAGGACATGGCCCTGTTTGTCAGACCATGCAGTATCGGGCAAAATAAACTATATAAATATTAAAACTCTAAAAATCACTAAAAATAAAGGACTCGTCAAATCGATAAAAACAACATAAAATCTTCTATCATTCTCGGGAGAAGAGAGCCAGCTTTGTGCCCATCTCTTAGGGGGTCGTCCAGGTAATTTTTAAAAATGAATTAAATCAATCGAGAAATTGTTTTACAAAAATATGCAACAGTTCTTAGGCAAATAAATACATTATGGAGTGAAACTTAGCAACGTTGCAATGCAATTAGGCCCTTCTGGCTTTTATGCCCTTTGAAAAAAATAAAACCTTGTGAACGTATGCGACAGCACGATCTCCCAATCTGAAGTGTTTGAGATTCGACCTCAATGTGTACCTGGAAAAACATCTTCCTTTTTTTATTTAAACCTTCCAGACCGTAAATTTTTAATTATGACTGTCAGTACGAGCTCCGGGTTCGAAAAATTTTATGCTCAATAATTTATTCTGAGTGATCACGAGAGTTGATGTAAATGTAAAACCTCGGTCACCCTCATCGTTTCAAATTTTCAAGAAGTACCTACATGCTTTGGAGGGTTCGCTTTGTTTCTTCAGATGTGTCTGTTTTCTTCAAAAGCAAAGTATCGTTTTATCGATAGAAATTTGCCATCATTGGTTACATCAAATGCTCAAACAGCACTTCCTCGCAGCGTGATAGATTATCTCCGTATATTCATGTCTATCTGACCATGCGCCGTAAAGCCTGGATGGTTCGCATTTCTCAAAAGTAAATATTATTTTCTTTTTACAAAAAAGCAACTGAGTGCTGCTACAATATTTTCTGGGTCAGTTGCGCTGGTCACAAAATCGTGTTTTGGTGTTTGATTCTTGTATTGTAGATTAGCTGAAAATAATGATATCTATCTAAACTGCAAATTCCTACGTTAAATATTAACCGAGAAATCGCTCTTTGAAAAGTCGGGTTTTTGACGTCATCCTCCGAGGGAGTGAGTAGTGACACCTTAGTTTGCACCAGTTACTCAACGTGACACTCGGACGAAAGCAAGGTGGAAGAAATCAAGGGTGTCACTACCGCGGTGGATGACGTCAAAAACTCAACTTTTCAAAGGTCGATTTCTCGGTTAATATTGAACTTATTAGAAAGCTGCTTTTTGGACAGATCTTATTATTTATAGCTGATCTACAAGAATCAAGCATCAAAATACGACTCAGAGACCAGCGTAACTAACCCACTCTGTGAACTGGCATGGTTTTAATAAACTGCTATAGGTACCTAATTGAACTTCTATATAACTTCGTAACACACTTTCCAGCTGTTAGCGACATTGATCCAGGGTTGGCTTTTCCTTGACCTAGGTCTTGAGGCGGCTGTGCCTACATTAATCATAGGTGCTTTACACAGGAACCCTAGCGCTACAGAGTCCTTGCGAATGAACAACGACCAGGCATCTTGGTATGGTGAGAGACAAAAATGAATCATTTTCCTGTAACTGTTATGATTCCAATTTTTTCCTCCTTGAGTTTTAAGATGTCTAGCATTTAGCTCGTCTCTTACACAAACATGACACATCGAATAAATCCAGAAAATTAACCGGGGGGGGGGGAGGCGAAAGAATTCAATAACAAGTCGATCTGGGAAAGCAATCTTACAAGTACAGGGATTTCAATGTAAACAAAGTACTCCCAAGCGAGCCCAAGTCTAGGCGGTTTCGGTTTCAAAGTTCATGTAGACGTATTTATGCTACAGGGAACCAGAGACGGATGGGAAAGAAGGAGTGTGCTCAACTGCTCATTAGTTTAGGGCCGGAAGAATGAATGGGAATTATAAAGCGTCAGTGACGTCAGCGGTGACGGATTCGGGATCCACAACGATGTTGTCACATGTCTACGATTCATGAGTTAGCATATTTTGGCGTTTAGTTCCTTTTGATTTAATGTAATTCCCCACTTGTCTATTTTGCCAAAGAGAATCACGCCCACTTTTACATTTTGTTTCTTATGCAGCTTTTACGAGCACATCCCACCTTTCTCACCCATCTCTAGTTCTTTTTAGCATAAATACGTCCATTTGAAGCCACGGTTTCACAGGCAGCGCGCGACGCATAATTGGCCTTGTATGCCAATCTCTTGTGTGCTACAGACCCATTCCGCCATTTACGCTTGAACGTCTCTAACTGCCAGGGCCGGACTCACTCATTTGCCGCCCATGTGCCGCCTGTATCTTGCCGCCCTCTTCTCCTCCGTTTTGAGCATCAATAAGAGTCATCAAATGGACCTGCCGAAAGGGACTTGTGTTGGGCGCACTTATTTTCAAATCTCTGTCCACAAAAGTTCTCGGAAATTTTTATGAAAGTTAAAGCTGCTGTATCTCATTCAACCAAAGGACGACAAAATTAGAAATCACTTTAGTTTTACACTCTCAAGGAATGCGAGATTTTGCCGCCTTTTCTTGTTCGTAATTTTCTTTTCCGAGTCCGAAATATGTATTTGATACCTATGTTTATAAAAATCGCAAAATTTGCCGTCATGGGCCGCGGCCCATTAATCAGGCCCTGATACACGGAGAAAAAAAACTTCGTGCATGGGACCCGAAGTTGAGGTCATATAGATCTCTGAAGTTTTCTGATCACGCATCCGAAAACTTGAGGTCGAGCAGCCGAAGTTCGGGTCCGACATCGAGGCACTGCGGTATGTACCGGAGTACTTCAGATGTGTGACCCGAACCCTTCGGTATACTTCGAAGTATGTACTTGAGACGTCTGACCCGAACTTCGGCAGCTGGACCTCAAGTTTTTTAGATACGTGATCCGAAAACCTCAGAGATCCATATGACCTCAACTTCGGGTCCCACGCACGAAGTTTTTTTTCTCCGTGTAGCTGATAATTGAATTTTTCGTTTTGCAGGTAGCTTACAGAGCTTCTGTTTCCCTATCGCTAGCCTCTCCTCGGCGTTTCTGCAAGAGCTCATCGGTCGAAGGGGGTGTATGATGGCGGTGAACGTGCCCAGCTTCGCAGCTTGGATGACGCTATACTTTGCGGAATCAGTACCGGCTCTCTACGTCGCTTCTGCCATCATGGGCTTGAGTAGTGGAATATCCGAAGCCTCTCTCCACTCGTACATCGGCGAGATCGGAGAACCGCGCTTAAGGGGCACCCTCTCATCTTTATCGTCTAGCGGATTTTGTGCAGGTAACCGACTGGTGTTTCAAGGTCGGAGCTCAAATTTGTCATCCTTTCTCGATCAGAGCTTTTCCTCAGGGAGTCCAAACATTGTTTATATTGAAATTGATCCTAACAGCGAGGCGTGAATTTTTGACATTAATCGATAATATTACATAGGTTTAAAGAACATATCAATCCATTGCAAAGCATGACACGCCGCTTGAGATGATAACCTTTTACCTTGATCGGGCACCATTAAAGGAGCGCGCTTCCATCAACAAGGAGGCCGTCGAAAAAGGACCGTTTTTAGGTCCCTTTTTAGAAACGCAGGGATTTCATTCACTAATCCATCCCGAAGAAACCCTCGTGAAGAGACAATCCTTCTTTGAAAGTTGAGGCTTGAGAACAAAGCTCATTTCGGCAATAAATCATTGCAAAGTCAGCGTTTTTCTATTTGATATGCGAATATTTGGATGTTGTTTGATTAAAGAAACAACTTCAATAGAGGGGCTTGGAGGACAAGGCGCATAAGTGCAGTTTTTGAACAAATTGAGATATTAATGATTACAACGTAAAACTAGACTGCAAGTCTATTCTGTGTAAAATTCGCTCCCAAATTCCAATGTTTGAACATCAAAAAGTCCGTTTAACTTCCTCTCCACCATAAGGATCCATGTAATTTCGAAACTTCAAACACCTATTTCTGGAAATAACAAAAACTGCACTTGTGCGCCTTGTCCTTCAAGCCTCTTAATTGATATTTTTATTATTTTCTCGGGAACAATGATGTTATTTGGGGACCAAGACTGCACTACGCTCTAGCAATCATTCGTGATGTACAGTGTTGCACATTTTATACGAGTATCGCAGAAAATTGGAGCCAGGCTTTTTCCTCGGTTACCTAAGTCGGTTGATGTCTGGGAACGGGGTGCTGTAACAATCGGACATTTTCGCACCGTTTTCTAGTATCAGGAAATTATATTCCATCGTCACTCGTAGTCTGGAAGGGTGTCGCTGCGAGCCTTGTGCTTCCTGAGGTGGAATGTCTGGAGCGCCTTCAATTTTTAGAATGCAACACGGATGTCAATAAAGCACGAATGGTTGTATCAAAGCGTTATTACCGATATCATTGTCCTTTACTCGGTTATCGATACCAAAGCGTCAAGAAAAACGTTGTATAAACACTCGAGTGTTGTCGAAGTTCCTCCGATTAGGTACTTACGAATTTTCTTTTTAAAATGTTAAGAAAATTTCACGCTCAATATAATCTAATGATTCCAAAAATTTCAATTAAATACATACCAAACTTACCCCTAAAATACTGTATCATCCAAAAAACAAAAACAAAAAAAATGGGCAAAAACTGGATCTTCAAGCAACGGCGTCTTCACGCTGTACAAACTTGCTTTGGCGGCAAGCAAAGTCTGTTCGTTAAAATTTATAGACAAAACTGTAGACAAAGAGGATAAAAGGGATATGAATGCATCCTATCGGTGGAATCAGGTGGTTGCAATGGACAAAGAAAGCAGGCAATGGACTAACTAGTGGCAACCCACTAGAGTCCCATTAGGCAGTGATTCCATCATTTACCCCCATAGTCTATAAGAACCACCAAAATTAACCAATAGGATCACTCCATACTCATTATGTCCTCTTTGTCTAAAGATGCTCTCATCAATTTCAGCAATCAACCCGCTGGCACGGGTAGTCGGTGACACCTTGTATAAACTTTGCAACCCTGAATCACGACTGATCGTCAGATCGTAGAGTGTCAACAACAGTCTTAATCTCTGAATAATATCAACTGATGAAATTGTGTCTAGAAAATAGAAGCAAGATAGATTTAAGTTAGTTTTTTAACCGAACAACATAAGAAATTAGCATTTTTTCCAAAACCAGCTGTGAACTCAGGTTACAACTTTCATTGGAGGTTTTTCCATCGGAGGGTTTCGCTTGGGAAGGATTGGAAGAAAATCTCCGCATTTCCAGAGAAAGGGCACTTTCTTGACAGGCTCTCCCATTTTTGTGAATGAAACCATACACTTACAGTCAAATGAAATCTTAAATTGATTTTTCAAGACCATTTCATGATGAAGAATATTTTTTTTCAGGTAGTCTCGGTGGGTTCATCCTTGGTTACTATTTTGATTGGAGGACGGTTGTTTTGATAAGTAGTGCGTGTCCCGTGATAGCTTTCATCTGCATGACTCAAGTATGTTCCTTACATAGCAAAATATTTTACATGCATGTCTATCTATCATTCCATTCCTTCCGCTAAGCATGAATAGAAATTAAACAATCATCATTAATATAAACTTCGAAGGATTCAGACTTTCAGCGATTCCACCTTTTTCTATTTCACTCGACATGTTGCCAGATCGTGCGATAAATGCGAATATTTTACATGGATTGGAATTGGGAAAAGTGCTAAAAAAGCAACTTATCTTGCAACAATAGAGTCCGTGAGGGACGAGAGGCTGCCTTCCCGGGAAAGCCCATGATTTAGCCGGAAATGTCATTAAAACAATTGATTCCGTTTGAAGCATCAATTGTTTACTAGGGGAAAGCTATTTTAAAATAATAATTGTGAATGTACACAGATGCTACAGAAAGGGAAAAAGGAAAGGAAATGAAATGAGGATATGTGGATATGATTACTAATATGCAATCAGAGGTAATAAAACAAAAACATCAGAGAAATTTATATGCGATGAAAGTATAAGAAAACAACACAAGTGGGCTCACTGCGATTCGGAACTCGAACTACACTATCGTTGAGCAGTTTTTAGACCCCTACGCCACCGATAATCTTCTTAAGAGGTAAAGATGAACTTTTGCTACTTCAGCAAGTCAAATCGCGGAAGGAGATCCAGCATGGATTGTCTTTTTCCGCCACCCGATGGGATGACGTCCCAGTCAAATGCGTTTTTGAAGAAATGATCGATCCACATCATCGCTTCATCTCCACACATCTATTCATGTGCAAATGATGGCACGCTCCGGCAACAAGGTTCTGTGACGAAATCATTTTTGCCTCCAGAGTTTCCAAAATGTATGAATTTTAGTGATCAAATGTCCAATCACTGAGAAAAATAGCTCGCGGAGCGGGCCGAATGTCACTCGCGTAGCGAGTGATCGGGGGTCCAGGGGGCGCAGCCCCTTGGCTGGCCGTGACGGACGCGCAAAGCGCGTCCAGAACGGCTAGTAATATATTAAATACGGAGAAGGCTCATTTTCGCAGTAATTTTCTCAATCTACTTAAATCATCCAGCTAAAAACCTCCCTTCGGAGTGTGAATGACATTATCCGTCGTAAATATTATGAGATATACTTAAAATATGTTGAACATGGAATATGAATATGAATAAAAGTTGAAAGAGCGAGCTCCAGAATTGTACTTCACATTAAATATTTTTTTTGCTTTTTAAAGTCTCGACACTAAACCACATAAAAAACCGTAATGCAAGAAATACTCAACTTAGCCATTTCCGAGTGATTTCAAGAAATGGAAAACGATAATTTTCTTCCTACCCTAACGGAATTGGCATCCATGCCAATTTAAATTTAACCACCTCAAAAATAAAATACGACATCAAGTGAGGTGGATAACATTGTATACTTGCGTGCCTCTTGTCTCGTGTTTGCAGTCTTATCTTCTTGAGGATACAGAGGCTTACGATATCCCGATATTTTGCAGTTTTTCATTGGAATGGATTTAGCCCCAGCATGGATGCACGTGACACATTCTGCTGTTTTATTTTGTTTTACAACTAATGGCAAATTCATTTCACCTAAAATGCGCCAGAAATATTTGTGGCATTTTCCGGTGAACGGGCGTTTGAGACTTCCAATGCTGCTGAGATTGTGCAACGTATTTCTTTAATTGCAAGTAACTTATTTGACAGTTTTGCTATGAATTTTTCCCTGAATCCACTCCGAGTTCTCCTTCACCATTGTAAGGGAGTAGGTGGACTGTGAATGAATTTCATCTGCCGCAAACGCTATAGAAATTTCACAATCTCAGTAATATTGCAAGGCTCATACGCCCTTTCACCGAAAAATCCTCATTTGTTCCTTACTGAGAAGTACAATTTTGAAGAGGAAATGTGTACGAAGTAACATTATAAAATTTTGGACCTTGAACGCCAATTTACATTCGGTGATTTCTGTGTGTTCTAACCATCCCATTCTTGTCGTTGTGTAGGTATGCTATGACAATCTGACAGTTTAAAGTTAAAAAAAAAACACTCTATTAATGATAATTATAGAAATACAAGATTAAAGGCACCCCAACGTATCATGATTGATGGCATCTCTCAAAAGCACGAAGCTCCCTCGCAAATTAAATCGAGTGACAAAAAGAGAGCGGTAGTAAAATAACTCACTAAGTCCTAGTATTCTTATTCAATAATATTTGGCATGGTTTTTGAATTTCATTAGAGAAAAAATTGACTTCATTCAAGCAGAAATATGCTCAAATTTACCTCCTAGATTTCCTTATAAATCAATAAAGAAAATAATGCTTGTTTGAAGAACGAAAAAATGATTTTATGAAAAGAAAAGTCCTTTGCATCAAGCAGAACCCCGCTTTCATTCAGCGATTTTATAGTTGATTCAAAATAAAAATTTTCCTGGCCCATACTCAAGAATGTTTCTGCCTAAATCGAGTCACTTTTTTCTCTAATGAAATACAATTATTATGCTAAACGTCATTAAATACGGATGCTAAAACTTAGTGAGTTTTTGGACTACCGCTCTCTTTTTGTGCCGCAGTATCTTGATTTATTTTGCGAGGAAAGCTCTGTGCCCTTAAAAGATGCCTGTCATTCTTGATACGTTAGAGCGCCTTCAATTCCGCACGATACTCTGCAACACCTCTGTTGCGAAATAGTTGCTTGAAGCGCCGTGGCACGCCGCAGCGCGCGGTGCAGCGGGCGAGGGCGACCAGCGCGACACGCGCATTGGCGCCTACAAACCTAACATGGATACTTCACGCATTGCGCAATGCGTGAAGTATCCCAGTTAGGTTTGTAGGTTTGTAGTAATGCGCGTGTCGCGCTAGCAGCACGCCGCTCCGGTATTACTCGTATTTTACGCGTGGAAGTAAACTACTGGACAAAACAGGTGCGCGGACAAAAAATCGTTGACTCATATCTAAGGCTCGAATTCAAGTACTAGGGGGCCCTGCCCCCTGACCGCTACGCGGCCCAACCCCCTGGAGGGCGCTTCGCGCCCTCAGGCCCGCTTCGCAGGCCCTATACGCATATGTACAGGCAAAAATGTTCTTCCAATTTTAAAACACAATTTTGTGTTTGAGCTGCATCGATTTCAAAATTTTTAACGTAACTCTCATATTTGTAAATGATGAGGAACAGCTGGATGTACATAATTTGGTATTAATGGAGGCAGTATATTGACGGCTAAACTCGGGAAACATGTATCTCATTTTGCGACATCGTAAACTTCTCGTCATACTTTTTTTTTTTTTTTAATTTATTGGTAAACCAATCAACGTACTGAATGTTTTGAAAACGACGGTGATTTCACTTCTGCTCGAAGAATATTCTGTGAAAATTTAAAGCGATAAAATTGACTCATTTCTCTTTGAAATCTTAAATTAGATGCGGAAATCTTGAAAACCGTGAGCAAGGTACGTGGTTTTCAACTTTAGCCATCGTTATGCAAAAAGAGCTCTTATGCTATGCAATATATCGCTAAGATTGTTGAATTCGGCACATATTTTTCGACGAATCCGGTCCTCATGCATGTTTATATTTTGACAGAAAATGCTCGCTGAAATTTCAAAAAATGTATTTTTTGACGTTTTTTCACATCCGCACGTTGAATTTAACTTTTCTTTTCTTCTTTTCCTTTGAGAAAGGAAAGGGATTTTAATTGGGCCGCGTTGAATAGACACGCATCAAGTCGCATGTAGATGAACCCGAGAAAAGGGAAAAGTGAAGAGTTAGTTGAGCTGAAAACTACTCTTAACTCAATTTTTTGGAAAATGCGACTTGGTGCGTTTTTGTAAATACTTAATTAAAAAAAAATCGGATCACGACCGTTGAGAGTTAATAATATTTGGTCCGTCCCGACGCGACGCAGCGCCTGCCTTCTCACTTTGTATCTGCTGTTTATCTGCTGTAAATATCAATAGAAATTCAGCAATCAAGTAAATTGACCAATGCCACAATCGAAGCCGGAAGAATGAGGAAAAATGGAGTAAAAACCTTATGTTTTGGACCTTGAACCTTGAATCCTGAGCGATGCACCGTCCCTCAACTCTCGGAATGAGGAGTCCTACAAGAGCTTCTCCATTGTTCTATAGTTCATTCGAGTCACTCAGGTAGAGTCCCACACCTCGACGTTTCTAGCGGAAACGACATATCTCTCACGCTATTAACATTGAACATAGTGACATGAGCTTTTAAAGCTCTACAACATTAAAAGTTGGGGGTTTCATAATTATTTGCACATCTACAGCTATCATGAGTGGCGGTAGCCACCACCGGGCAAGTAACCTATCCTCCAACAATTGGCAACACAGCACAGCCCGGTCGAGGCAACGACACCATAGTTACACGAACTTGGCTTATTTGGGTTTTTTTTACAGATGACATACATGTAAAGATCATCCTTATCGGTCCGGTAGTTCGTCAGAAATAGTGCTTCCAACATTTTGCTTGTAGCTGTATAAGATGGATTTGAAAATTCGCGATGAAAATCAAGAAACGCAATCAGAATCCGATTTCTGAATGAATTTTTCTTCAGCCGGAGAAAACAAATTCGAGTATTATACCGGACTTAATAATCGCGTGAACCGAATCTCACTATGTATATAAGTAGATTCTCTAACCTGGAGTCTGGTTTATAAATCGAATTTTATTAATTCCTCCGTGTTTGTTTTTAATAATTTATCGGGTGAATTTTATCCAGATTCCAGAGTCACCCACATGGCTCATAGTGAGGAATCGGATGGACGAAGCCAAGAAATCCCTGTGCTGGTTAAGAGGATGGGTCAGTCCAAACGAGATCGAGGAAGAGTTTCAAACTTTAGTGCAATACGTCAAAAATTCATCTGCCGAAACTCGCAGAGGTTTACGTCAGGAAACATCAATAGCTTCGACTGAAGGTAAGGGATTTCTGATATTTGCATGGTTCCAGCGAATGGGCTGAACATAGAGGAAAAAACTTCGTGCGTGGGACCCGAGGTTGAGGTCATATGGATCTTTGAAATTTTCGGATCATGTATCTAAAAACTTGAGGTCCAGCTGCCGAAGCGCGGGTCAGACATCTGAAGTACTTCGATATATACCGACGGGTTCGGATCACAAATTTGAAGTAATCCGGTACATACCGAGGTGCCTCGATGTCTGACCCGAACTTCGGCAGCTCGACCTTAAGTTTTCGGACGCGTGATCAGAAAACTTCAGAGATCTATATGACCTCAACTTCGGGTCCCATGTACGAAGTTTTTTTCTCCGTGAAGGATGGGCCTTTAGACAAGGTATGAATTTATGCATTAATTTATTATTATTTATGCGTCTACATACATTAAGCCGCTTTCACAACGCAGCCTCGCGCTCTGCGACGCCCAATCACCATTATGCTCCCTATCCTCCCTGAGATCATCAGGCAAGGCAGTTGACACCTTCTGATTTCCTCCTCCACCCCTTATCGCCAATCTTCCATAGGACGTCCACGCCGTCGCCTTCCGGGAGGAAACCGATCGAAAACCTGCTTTCTTCTACCTCCGACCTTATCTATTGGCCTATTCCTTACGGAATATATTTTTTGATGACCTGCGCACAAGATCTTAGAAAAACGACAATAATAAGTGATGAAGTCAGGTAAATGAGCTCTCAATGTGAAAACCCAATTGTTTGCTGTTGCCTGAAGACTTTGGAGTAAAACATAATTAGGTATCATTTGGAGACTTTAAGCCATAGTTTGCATAGTAAGCGTTTGAAATGAGATGTTTCTGGAGGCCGGCAAATAACATAATTTTTCTCAAAATCCCAGTTTTACTGTCATGATTTTTGTTATTTCAAAGGATTCAATTTTGGCATTTTTTACGCAAAATTATGGAAAATTAATCCTTCCAGCTGTGCTGCCAATAACTCGAATTTTTTCTGTCATACCGTCAGGGTCCTGATTCCTGACTCCGCACGGAGAAAAAAAGCTCGTGCGTGGGACCCGAAGTTTAGGTCATATGGATCTCTGAAGTTTTCAGATTGAGCATCTGAACACTTTAGGTCTAGCTGCCGAGGTTCGGATCATACATCTGAAACTTCAGTCCTTACATCTGAAGTACTTCAGATGTGAGAACCGAAGTACTTCGGATGTGAGAACCGAATTACTTCGGATGTGAGAACCGAAGTACTTCAGATGTAAGAACTGAAGTTTCAGATGTGTGATCCGAACCTCGGCAGCTAGACCTAAAGAGTTCAGATGCCCAATTTGAAAACTTCAGAGATCCATATGACCTAAACTTCGGGTCCCACGCACGAGTTTTTTTTCTCCATGCGCCACATAATGAAATAGCAATATGGAGATGATTACACAGAAAGAGCAGGTTGTCTGCACTAACACGTTCATTTCACTGCCTCTAGCATTCTAAATCAATTAAACACACGTTGAAAAGAAACGCCTGTATTCACTTTCCACAAAAACTCTTAATCCATCATGCAAGAATTATCTAACATTCAAATAAGCTTATCGACTCACCTCATATACGAGGTCTGTTAGATTAGAAACCGGATTTTGGTCATAACTAGCCCACAATGCGTCCAAATTAGGTTTTCTTGAGCTTTCCTGATAGCTGGAAATATACTTAAGAACGCTACGTTCACAGATTTTGTTTATTTTGATCAGTGTTTATTCTGTGTCATCTTGAATACGAGTAAGTCAGGTGCGTTTTGCGATTGTCATCATGCGATCACTGATAGAGCAAAGATTCAACATTAAATTTTGTTTTAAACTCGGTATACCTTGTACCGAAACTTTTGGTATACGCTAAGTAAAGTTTACCATGGTCATTGTATGAGATGCTTCCACTGTTTTGAATGGGTTAAACGATTCAAAACTGGTCAGGAGTTCGTCAAAGATGAAGAGCATGGGAATCGACCCTCAACGGCAACTGACATTTGTCACGTGGAAGAAATGCGGGCAAAAGTGCTCGAAAACGGTCGTTTCGAGCTTATTGAACAGAGTAATATTTCTGAAGGCTCTGTACATACAATTTTGATAGAATATGTAGACACGCATCGAGTTTCAGGTACACTTGCCCCTTGATTGTTGTCCGTTGAACGAAAATCAAACAAAATTTCAATTTCCCTTTAGCTGCTTGAACGTTCTAACAGTGATCCTACATTTTTGGATAGGATAATTTTCGGTGACAATACTTTTGTGTACGGCTACGATATGGAGACGAAACGCCAATCGTCCCTGTGGGTTGAAAAATGTAGTGCAAGACCGAAAAAAGAGAGACAAGTTCGGTGAAACATAAAAATCGCAAAACACCCTTGAGGTTGCCTTACTTCAAGCCAAATACCAACGAAGCTAATTAGGATTTTTCAAGTTTGTGAGCGTAACGTTCCTAAGTATATTTCCAGCTATCAGAAAAACTCAAGAAAACGTAATTTGGACGCATTGTGGGCTAGTTATGACCAAAATCCGGTTTCTAATCTAACAGACCTCGTACATTTAAACCTTCTCACGACTAATATGTACCCTTGGAATTTTGTTTTATTCAGAGAACTCATCTATACTAAAAGAATTTATCCTAATCATCAAAGTGTTGGCGAGTAAAAAGGTTTTCCGTCCCCTTCGCATGGTGTTCATTACTTTCGTAATCAGCTCAGTAGCATGTGTAGGCGGAATTAGGCCGTTCTTAATCGGCGAACTCAAGGATTTAGGGACCACCATTGACCCAAAATTAGTATTGGTAAGAATTTATTTAAAATCGAACTTTAGTTTTCTTCATTCATTTTACTGTGACAGCGATGAAAAGTAAGAAAGAAACATAATAAGCAGGTACATAGCTACAAGAATAGATTTACGAGACATTTTTTGTCCATTGTATTTTTGAAGGAGCAAGATGATAAAAGGACACTTTTATATTTTCGCATGCTAGCCTATCAGGCTAATCAATAACTTTGAAAAACAAACTAGCAAATTGCGTGGAATTTTCGACGAGCGCCTGATTTTTCCCGCGCATTAGTACTTAGAATTACACGAATTGCCCTCGTCTCTCCTCAAAAAGCACAAAATGATGTACTTAGCACATATCGACGGTGTAAGTTGGCAATCACATAACTCGGTTTGCGACGTCGCAGTCATACTTTATTTTTTAAACGGAAAACTAGGTACTCAATGGCAATCCTTTAAAAGTCCCGTTATTTTTCTTCTCCGTGCGAAGAAAATTCTGCAAAAACTTCTAGGAATGATGTCAATTTGTTCTTCTTTAAAAAAATAACATAGAAGCGGAGATTTTCAGACACCGCAAGCGAGCTATGTGATTGCGGACTTACGCCGTCGATATATTGCCCCTAAGAAACTGATCCTTAAAAATCTCTATGGAATAAAAAACGAAAGAAAAAAACCTCAGGTAGTCAAACACCGATCAATGTTCCCATTTGACTAAAAATGTGTTTTTCCAGTGCTGGGACAAGAAATGGAAACTCATTAATTTTTTAGCTTGCATTTGCCTTCTGATTCTAGATTATGTTCGAAGTAATTTTCTTCGTGGGTTCGATGTTCAACGTCACTTTTGTGCATCGTTTTGGGAAAAGAAGACTTGCCATATATTCTCACAGTTTTGCAGCCATCATGATCACAGGGATGGGCGTTTACTGTTCTTATTCATCCTTTTATGAAGATAATAGCAATTCTCAGCTACCCTGGATTCCGGTCGCTCTCTTCGCTATCCTCAATCTCGTTGAGGGGGTGGGCATCTCGCTATTGCCATGGCAGCTCACCTGTGAAGTCTTCCCGCCAGTGTAAGTTTGACCAGAATTTTTAAAATTATCAAGAACTACTGGATCATAATTTGCGCAAAATCTTCAATTTATCTCAGTCGAAACCAAAATTTGTCATAAAGGTAATAAATAGATCCAAGGTGTTGTGGATATAATTCTATAATTACTAAAGTACCTTTCGGCTTACGCCATCATCAGAAAATTTACAAAACTTGAAACACAAACGTAATTACGGTTTGAAATTTGTAAGATATTTTACATCATACATATCGACAGTGAAACTACCAGACCACGTATCTCGGTTTGCGACGTTGTAGACTTCCTTTCATACTTTCTCTTTTACATGGAAAACTATCCAACGTCAATTTCTAAAAACTTCTGCGATTAATCTTCTCTGTGCGAAGAAAACTCTGTGAAAACTTCAAGGAGCAAAATTGATTTGTTCTCCGTCAAAAGAATGCAACGGGAGCGGAGATTTTTAAACACCGCAAATGAGATACGTGGTCTGGTAGTTTCACCGTCGATATATATATGATGGTGTCGAAATTAAAAGATGTCATTAATGATCAAATTCTTTAAATTTCGACACCATCATTTATGTTTATACATGCGTGCGATGTAAAATATCGTACACATCTCAAACTGTAATAATGTTTATGTTTCAAGTTTTGTACATGCTATGATGATGGTTTGAGCCGAAAGGTACGTCAGTAATTATAGAATTATATCCACAACACCTTGGTTCTATTTATCACCTTCATAACAAAATGGTGCTGTTCAAGTGGAACTCTGTAAAAATTTGTTGGCAGTATCTCAGGTCGAAATTTGCGTTGAAGTCTTAACTTTATGAGCCGACAGTGAAAATACAACACTGGTCTACCGTTGTCGTTTTGAAATAATTTTTATTACTGTTAATACTTCGTAAATGTCCAGTTAGTGCTTAATTTTAAAAGTAACCGAAATTTTGTGTTAATAGGGAAATTAGAACACAAAAAAGTGTTTTTAATATTTTTTGGTTCGTTTNGGGGGGGGGGGGTTACATTGACCAAATCCTCGAGTTTGAAAAATGCAACCTCTGAAAAAAATCAAGCGTGAGCCGCTAGGATCGAACCTAGCTCGCATTTGTGAGAGCAATGTACTAGCCACTCGAAGAAGCTCAGGTCCAATAAACAGGAGAACGTTTGGTTGCCTACCTCCTGTATTGAAGGAAACTTTTACTTTTTCTCCAAATGAAAGAGGTGAAGAAACCGCCACAATTCGTTCGACCAATTATTTTAAATATGTATATGCATGTATACACGTAGATAGAGGTGAAAGACGGCTTACTTGGAGCAAATTTTTCTCTCGGTGATTTTTTTCAAATTTATTATCTACATATATTCTTCGAATATAATCTGACATGTTTCACACGTGCATAAAGACTGCTTTCATAGCGCTTTCTGTCGCTTTGCGACACCTAGCCGCGACAGTTTCCTATCCTTCCATACACTGAAAAAATGTATGCACTCACGCTTCATAAACTAAGTACATAATAAAGTATAGTTGGTGGCTACAGTGTTAAGTTACATATTAGAAATAATACACGATACACTTACAAAACAAAGGAGGTTCAGCAAAACAGGATAGTAACAAAAATTGGAACAATCATAAAAACATTTGTGTTTCAGGGGACGGGGTCTCGCCGCCGGAATGTCAGCCGCCTGGTCGAAACTTGTCTTCTCGGCACTGATTAAATCATTCCTATACTTAGAAGTTTGGCTGAATTTGAGTGGTGTGATGTACCTTTACGCAGGACTCACAGTTTTTGGCATCTTGTATCATTACTTTTATCTACCAGAAACGGAGGGGAAAAGTCTGGAGCAGATCGAATCATATTACACGAATCATCACACCCGGAAGGAGAAAATTAAGATGGGAGAAAGGTGTCAACAGCGGTGATCGTGATTTTAACTTAAATTCAAACCGCACGGTAAACAATGACAAATATTTTGACGTCTCATGATGTTTGTGTTTTTGGCGACTGTGATCAGGGATGACGGAGTACAGAGGTCATTCCTCGAAGTCGACTTTCATTCGGCAGGTTCCCTGTAGAATTTACTTAACTGCACTAAATTACTCTGAAGAGAGACACTTTTTTAGTGGGCTCTGAGTACAATAAGAATATTATTTCATCAGCTTTTGTCTGTCCACTTACTTAAGCTGAATCTGCTCGAAATCGATCCAATTGACGTTTCTTAACATCGGGTGAATTCATGAAATGTTTTTGCTTTTTTCACTTTTACACTATAACGTTTCTAATCAGTCTATAATGTGTGTTTGAAGCCAGGAAGATGAGTGTTTTTTTCACAGCTCCAATGACTCCGCAAAATCCATCGTTTCCCGTACGTCGAGTTGCTAATGCGCAAGTACAATAAGTCTTTAGAAATTGACGTTGGATAGTTTTCCATGTAAAAGAGAAAGTATGAAAGGAAGTCCACAACGTCGCAAACCAAGATACGTGGTCTGGTAGTTTCACTGTCGATATGTATGATGTAAAATATCTTACACATTTCAAACCATAATTACGTTTGTGTTTCAAGTTTTGTAAATTTTCTGATGATGGCGTAAGCCGAAAGGTACTTTCGTAATTATAGAATTACCAGGGGGCAACGCCCCCTGGCCGCTACGCGGCCCAACCCCCTGAAGGCGCTCCGCGCCAAGTCCACTATTTTTCGATTCAGGTCGCTCATAGGTATGCTTATAAAACAGTATGAACAAAATACTCAATCGGCTGGCTAAAGTACAGTGCTTTTCTTGAGAATAGTCTCCTGTATAAACGAGGATAATAGGAAAAAATGTCCAAAAATAAAAGCCCGAAGTATAAAAATGCCCAAAGTTAAAAAAGTCCACATCTAAAACATGTCCTAATATTTGGAATGTCCAGTAGCAGGATTATAGCCAAAAACAAAAATGCCCAAACGTGACGTATGATTTGATCGTATGATCGCCAATTTTTTTATGAACTAATGAAATCAACCAAAAAGAGATCACCAAAATAGTTCCGCTTTTAAATGAAGATAGGGGAGTTTTTGAACTAAGATTTTCGCATGTCAAATTCTATGTTTGCGTTTTAGAGTGTTTAAAGATGTTAAAACATAGTTCAGGGATGTATCTTTTCTGCTTCAAGAATATTTGGAGAAACTATGCCTAATACATATTAAACTGATATATTATAGAGAAAGATCTCTCAGTATTAAACAAGTCGTGAATTTTGCATTCACGCTCTTAGATTATTGTTCAAATATGTTCCTTGATTAAACTCATTTCTTTTTTTATAGACTCGCCTCATTATTTATGTGAATTGAACAACATTTTGCCTTGAGGGACTACTACTCGTCATCCTCTTTTAAAGCACCTACCCTACCTGCAACGGGAGCCGAATAGCACATGTGTTGCTTCTAAACAGAGCCAAAAACAGATTTAGAAAAGATTTAAAGCAACTGATATCATGCCAATTTCACATCTCTGTTTCGTCTTGTGTTTCTATGATTAGATATTTTCCTAATTTTGGAGTTCTCACTCATCAAAAAATAACTATTAATCCTCAAATTTAGCTTTGGTCTTTTATATGAAGTGTTAAATTAACATTCATTACGTCGAAGTTATCCAATCAAGAGATACCCAAAAGTGTAGCACAAAGGTAGATGTTGGACTCGCGTGAGTCCATTGACCTTCTATGCTCTTACCTCACTCTCAAAAATTAATCATGGAGCGATCCTCGATTTTTGAAAACTGAACTTAACAACTATCCACTTGAAGAATCACGTGATTCATCTCAACAATATTCGAAAATTATAAGCTATGGCCCCTGGCCAAAATTTCTCCACTTATTCTTGGTTCAATTGTATTTGCAGAGGCTCAGACTAATGTGCTCGTCGAGATCGATAAGAGCCCGTAAAGCTTGGAGAGGCAGCTGTAAAAACTTCCTAAAAAACTTGAACAGCACGTCACGTTAATTTTTGGCGACTCCAATAGGAGGCTACAGCCACTTCATCAAATTGAAGTCAGGCCGGTTTGAAGTTTGGAGTTCCAGAAACCCAATTTCGAAAAAGTCATTCAAAGTTTTATTCCTTCATGTTTGTAGCTGAAAATTGGACCACGTTTTGCATTGAGGAATCACTGTTTTCGGCCCACCCATAAAAGCACCGATCTTAATATGGGAAGTAATGGCACATTATGTTGATTATTTTGGTGCCAGTAGATGGAGGTAAAATAGAATTTTTCTCTGAAAAAAAGAAGACCTTGCAAAATCAGTCATTTTTTAAATTGTAATTTCACTATGTATTATGTATTTTCAAATTATTGGTTATTCATCTTCGCAAGGTCGTCTAGATTTTATTATGCGATAGGACTAAACATTCGATGAAGCTTGACATCGTTCAAATGTACCTACTATCTGACTTGTGGATGTGGGTGCTTACAATATACCTGATTTTTCTTTGATGCAATCGAGATATAATCCGATGGATTCTTTACAGGCAGACGTAAGGCTATAAATTTGGGTTTGAAGTGCTCTATTAGGACAAGACTCCTCGAATGATACTACTCCTTATCAACCATGACGAGCTGCTGAATCTAAATCCTCCATGGATAACACTACTATCGACATTTTTGAGCGCGGTGACAAAATGTTGGAATCTTCGCTTCAAAGACGTGCTTTACACGAGGACAATAATCTATGATTTTGTGTAAATTCTGATTAAAATTCACGGAAGTTACCAGCTCTCAAGGATTTTTCAAATCGTTCATTTGAAACGTTTCTCATAAGTGCATAATATAAGGCTTGACAACCGTACAATCAAAGTAATAAATTAAAATCCAGAATGTTGAAAATTTCGTCCCAGTGCTCGATAGTGAAGGTATTGTGGAATTTATTTTTGAAATAGAAACTCTTGTTTCATGTAATTTCATTTGATACGCAACTATTCACAACCATCGTATGATAACTAGTGATCGAATTGAAAGTGCGGCCCAGAGAGTTTCGTCATGGTTTACCTCAAGGGACATTCTGCAGATCGTACATATAAGTGTTGCTTAAGAATAAATCGGTAGGCCTCTTTGGCAAGAACTCAAATAAAATCTGTGAAGTATAAATGTAGTGGCGCATCCCTATCAAAAAGTATGGCTCATTTTCAACGTCCCATGAGTGTTGTAAAATCGAAAAATCGCTTTAATTATTAATTTTATCGCTCTGATAAACGCTGTTTTTTTTTTAAAAAAGGGGGCCTCATTTCTTTCTCTCTCACTGGATCTAAATCCTTAATCAACGCCTGACAATCAGATTTTTTAGGTGAACGAGTTAGGTTATGATTTTTCAGCCATGATAACTGTAGCGTCAGCCGTTATGGAAAATGACACGAACTCTTGCCACAAAGCTTCCGTGGAGAACGGCCTAAAAACGGACATCAGCAACAACCGGAGGGGCAAACGTCGTTTTAGATCAGCCAGCGCCCAGGTAAGTATAGCTTAAAGCTCTTCAAGTTATTTATTCACTAATTATCACCCCCCTCCCCAAAAAACCCCCTTTTTAATAAGCATGTGAGGCTCAAATTCAATGACGGAACCATCACCCGGACTAAACGCTTCATTATGAAAACTAAAACTTTTGTATAGGCCGGAATTAGAGGTACATTTAAATTGAAATATTCAGAATGTTGGATTTTTCCGGTAAAATTTGAGCTGTATATTTAAATGCATACCTAAGGTTTCATTTTCAAAAACTCAAAATTTACAGACAAAAAACCAAAAATGTTTCTTTTACGACAACATTTTTAATCAAACATATATTTTTTCCATCTAAATAGTTTCAAAATGCGAAATGTAAGCAAAGTAAAAAGCTTAAATTCATATTCAAATATTTAAATTATCTGCGTAAATTTGGAACTCCATCTTATCGTGATTTTCACAGATACTAGCTTGCGTGATCCAGACTTGGCTCCTTGTTGATCTGGGTATGGAGATGGCCACTCCAACTTTGATCATCGGAGCGCTACACAAAATTTCAGCTGATGCTGAACCCTTGCACATGAATGATGAAGAAGCCTCCTGGTTCGGTAGGGCTCCAAATTAACTCTGTAATTTATCCGCAAATTCATCGAATTTTTCGATAGGCCTGTCGATATTAATAGGCAGAGGTTAAAGAGGGAAAACTTGGCAAAACTGACCGGTAGATAAGGCAAGAAATGAAAAAAAAAAACAAAACACTACTACAGCTTATGTTATTTCATCTCAAATTCGCGCACAACATGTTGATCGTATTAAAAACTTTCGGAAATTCCTAATAGAAGCGTATTTTCGTTGGTGATTGGTCAAGCTAAAATGCCGCGATAATAGCGGCGAGATCATCATCTGGTTGGTAAACATTTGAGGTTAGACTTTCGAAATTGATGCTGATCAGTTGTAATCATCTTCATCAGGTCATTTCTAAACCCTACTTTATGTAGGATTATATTTTGGCTCCAACAGTTGCAAGAATTCCACCTTCGATCTGTCTGGTGAGTCCCGATGTTGTTTCAAAAAATTATGATCGCGTCAAAGTAAAATACGGAATCTTCTGACCCTCCCATTTTGACTCGACCGATCACTTACAAAAATACGCTTTAGAGGTCCGGAATTTTTAGCTCCATGCCACGGATGTTTAAAACAGCCTGGAAAATTTGCGAGCCGTTGCGCAATGATTCTTGGTGCAGTATTATCCCGCTAGATCGAGATTTTGAAGCCAGTTGATCCTCAGGCCAACAATGAGCTTCGAGTTTCGTCGTTTGCGCGTGAATTTCGTCACTTAAAGGTGCCATGGAAGCACGGAACTTTTCTGCTTATAGGTACTGAATTTTTTAGAGAGGTACTGAAATAGTACTGTATGAGTACTCAATATTTGCCGGCCAGTTTTCGTAGACATCTATTTATGCAGCACAAGAATCCGGATATGGGAAGTTAGCAGTTTCGAAAACGCCTTCAATTGCGGCGTGATACCTCACGCATTCCGGAGAGTACGAATAATTGTATCATTGCGCCGTAGCCCTGAGCAATGCGAAGATGGTAGATTAATATTGACCTAGCCTCCTGCCTCCACGCCGGCCTTGTCGGTTTTCCTTTGCAACTATTACAGTTTTGACCGCATAATTTAGGTGTGCTCAAGCTAGAATTGTATTTAGTAAACGGATTTTTTCATAGAAGATTTAATAATTAACTATAAACAAGCGGTAAAAAATATAACTAAATAAATTAAGGAACTCAAATCAACAGTCAACTTAAAGGTACCGAAAAAGTAGGGACTTTTTCTGCTCATTAAAACTGTTGGAAATTTTTTCAGCATTATAAATATAAATGCTAAATCGACTTTTAATTTTTTCCCGCGAACTTTTCATTTATTTCATTTTCTCACTTTCAGTCTACTACTTAAAAATTATCAACATTTTGGGGAGTAAATTTCTCCAGACCTTCAAATTTTAATTTTTATCGATTAATTTGTATTTTGGATGTCGCTGAAGAAGTGACAATTTGTGATGCCATTATACCTTAGGATCTTGAACAAATGCCCTTGTGATCTTTTCATCCTGTTTGCTTGATTTGCTTATGGAATGGCGTAGCCACTAAATCAGTCTATACTTAATATGTTATTCAGGTAGCATATCGAACATGGTATTTTTATTCGCAAGCTTATCCTCGGGGTTTCTCCAAGAGTTGATTGGACGGAAGGGCTCCATGATTGTTGTGAACGTGCCTCGCTTCGCAGGATGGATGACACTCTACTTCGCCTCATCTTTATCCACCATGTACCTGGCAGCTGTTGTCATGGGCATATGTGAAGGCTTATGCGAGGCGTCGGTTCATTCGTACATCGGCGAAATCGGAGATCCTCGATTAAGAGGCACCCTAGCATCTATATCCAGTCATGGTTATTTTTTTGGTGCGTAATGACTGTATTCCTATATACGTAGCTTGAAAATAGAAAAAAAAATAATGGATCAATTGTGCTGGTCACAAAATTGTGGTTTGGTGCTTGATTCTTGTAGGGGTGGTTTCACGATAACTGGAATAATTTTGTCGCCGTAACAGACAACACATTTTTCGGTCAGATTTTTAGTAGTAATGATAATCACTAGAGTTTTTTTTCATTATTAATCTTCACAGGGTTACGTGTTATAACGAGTTTCAAAGATTTATTGCTCTACTTTTCAATTTTAATATATGAATGGCCGGAAATGTGCTGTCTGTTACGCAGACTTTTTACCGCGTAACAGACAGCACATTTTCGGAATTTACATAATATTAATTGAGAAGTAAAGCAATAAATCATTAGGAATCGTTATAATACGTAACCCTTTGAAGATAAATGCGAAAAAATGCGAGTAATTATCATTTCTACTAACAATATGACCGAAAAATGTGTTGTCTGTTACGGCGACAAAACTATTCCAGTTATCATGAAACCACCCGTAGATAATCTAATAATAATATGATTTGTCCAAACGGCGAGTTTCTGCGTTGAATATTGACCGAGATGTCGCCCTTTGAAAAGTCGGGTTTTGACGTTATCCACCGCGGTTGGGACACCCTTGGTTTCTTCTACCATGCTTTCATCAGAGTTTCAAGTCCAGTAACCAGTGCAAATGCGTGTTGCCCTGCTTAATGAAGCACGGTGGAAGAAAGCAAGGGTGTCGCTCCCGCGTTGGATGACGTCAAAGCCCCGATTTTTCAAAGGGCAATATCTCTGTTAATATTGAACGTAGAAAGTTTCTGTCCAGACAGATCTTATTCTTATAGGCTAATCTACCAAGATCAAAAATCAAAACACGTGCCAACGCGCCTATGACCGGCGCAACTAACCCATTAAGAAAGGCAAAAACATCTCTCACACTGTAAGTTTCTTAACACGTTTACTGCCAACGTAACTTATCATATAGGTACTAGCTGTTCTGGACGCGCTTTGCACGCCCAGAACGGCCAGCCAAGGGGCTGCGCCCCCTGGACCCCCGATCACTCGCTACGCGAGTGACATTCTGCTCGCTCCGACAGCCATTTTTCTCAGTGATTGAACATTTGATCACTAAGATGTATACATTTTGAAGACTCTGGAGACAAAAATGATTTCGTCGCAGAACCTTGTCGCCGGAGCGTGCCATCATTTGCACATGAATAGATGTGTGGAGATGAAGCGATGATGGAGATCGATCAATTCTTCAAAAACGCATTTGACTGGGACGTCATCCCATCGGGTGGCGGAAAACGACAATCCATGGATCTCCTTCCGCGATTTGACTTGCTGGAGTAGCAAAAGTTCATCTTACCTCTTAAGAAGATTATCGGTGGCGTAGGGGTCTAAAAACTGCTCAACAATAGTATAGTTCGAGTTCCGAATCGCAATGAGCCCACTCGTGTTTTTTTCTTATACTTTCATCGCATATAAATTTCTCTGATGTTTTTGTTTTATTCTCTTTGATTGCATATCAGTAATCATATCCTCATTTCATTTCCTTTCCCTTTCCTTTTTCCCTTTCTGTAGCATCTGTATGTCCATTTACAATTATTATTTTTAAATAGCTTTCCCCTAGTATACAATTGATGCTTCAAACGGAATCAATTGTTTTAATGACATTTCCGGCTGAATCATGGGCTTTCCCGGGAAGGCAGCCTCTAGTCCCTCCCGGACTCTATTGTTGCCAGATAAGTTGCTTTTTTAGCACTTTTCCCAGTTCAAATCCATGTAAAATATTCACATTGCACAATCTGGCAACCTCTCGAGTGAAATAGAAAAAGGTAGAATCGCTGAAAGTCTGAACCCTTTGAAGTTTATATTAATGATGATGATGATGATGATAGTGAAAATACCAGACCACTTCTCTCGGTTTGCAACATCGCAGACTGCCTGTCATACTTAATTTTTTTTAAGCACACTACTCAACGTCAATTCTTGAAAACTTCCGTGATTTTTCCTCTTTGAGTGAGAAAAAATCTTTTAAAAATTCAAGGAATGATATTGGTTTATTTTTCTTTATAAAAATAAAACGGGAGCAGAGATTTTTAAACACCGCTAACAAGATACGTGATCTAGTAGTTTCACTGCCGATATGCTAGATGGAATCGCACACAAAATTTGAGGACGCAGGCAGCGCTGTAGGTACTGCCGTGCTAAGGAAAAACGCCGTATGAACCTTCAGGCGTTGCCAAATTTCCTTTGATAAGACACGAATTTCCTGATAAGCATATGAAATTTTTTCTTCAAATTGTTCTTCAAATTTTGTTCGAAATTTCACCTGAAGTTCCTGAAAATTGCAAGGAAAAATATTCTTAGTTTTTTTCCAAAACAAACATTTTATCGGAGGAAATTTTCCTTAGCACGGCAGTATAAGTGTACTGGTTGTAAATAGGTCGCGTTCCTCGTAGTTCTTTTTAAATTAATCCTTTTGTACTTAGTTATTTTTAGCCTCATAAATACGTCTAACTCTCGAATGTTCAATTTTGCGTAAAGACGACGGTGCTTCTTGACGCGCGCTGGACCGCAGCGTAGAAGCCAGGGTTTAGAATCCTCCAGTTAAATTTAATAAAAAGCACTGTTATGCACTAAAATAATGTCAAGTCAAGATATTTCAAACGTATCTCCTACGCTGACTTACCATGGGCTTTATGTATTTACAGGAACTCTCACTACTCTTATTCTTGGTTGCTACTTTGAGTGGAGGACGGTTGTCTTGATCAGCAGTGCAGTTCCTGTATTGGCATTCATTTCCTTAACACAGGTGAGTTTAAATGTCGACCAGGTGAAAAGAAGTAGAAATACAAATCCAGAAAAAATTACCGCTATGATACGGACAGCCTCATTTCATTGTGTATTTGTCCGCTAGAAGATTCCATCTACATAATTGCACTCTACGAATATATTTGATTTTTTAACCCAGAGGCGAACTAAGAAGACTGTCATTAGGTATTATCGCACGAATGTCACTTGAGAGACATCAGAGCAGTCTAACGTCAATTTTCAACGCTTCGCGGTGAACGTATCAAGCATTTTCAAATTTTCTGCAATTTTTATATCTGTGCGCATGCAAGAATCATATTGAGTATATCTCCATCTCTGTCTGTTGAGCAAACTTCGTTCTTAATAAATGCTTCCAATGATTACCTGATGACGCAATGTTTTGCACCGTTTTATTTTTAAAATCTGTGTCCAGATTCCTGAATCACCGACGTGGCTCATCGTGCGCAATCGACTCGATGAAGCTAAAAAGTCTTTATGTTGGGTGAGAGGATGGGTGTCCCCAGATGAGGTCGAGGAAGAATTTCAAGAGATGGTCAATTACGTGAAAAATTCTTCCGAGGAAAGTTTGAAAGCATTTAATTCAAATGAATGCGCAGAATCAAATGCAAGTTAGTATTTTTTTTAACAGCTCCTTTTTAGTGCTTAGAGTGTCATAAAATGCTATAGACTCCGTGTCTTTGACAAGGTAAGTGAAACGTAGGTATACTGGTATACTCTCCCCGCCCTATTCGGCCAGAACTCGGCTCTCGGCTCCCGCCGCTAGAGCTGTGGCGCGAAGTTTGAATTTCAACAATTTTGCAGTCTTGGCCGACAGAGCACAGGGGTGAATTTCGTGAGCCGCCCTGAGCGCCGTCCGCAGCGCTCATGGCGCACGACCCGCCTTTCATTATTACACTTCATCTACCCCGGCAAAAATTGGCGATAGGAGCTGTGTTTCAAAATACCATAGGAGTTCTTATAGCCGACTGAAGAGGGCGATAGAAAAGCATATAGCTGGCTGTAAAAAGTGGAAAAAATTCTACGGCCGGGCCATACGAAGCGATAAAAAATTATACAGCCGGGCTATAGTTCCTATCGCCGGGCTTTACACTTTATCACCTGGCTGTTGCTTTTTCGCCATCGGCTATGAAAGGCTATGAGGAATTATGTAGAAATTCTTGTGCTTTGTAAATCCTTAAGTTTCTACGGAATCACCTTAATATATACAAAACGCACATTATATTTTCCTTTACTACATTTTTTTTTCATCAATTAGAATGAGAATAATCCATTCAGAGTGTGCAAACATTTCTAAGTCATGAGTTGAAAAACTCTGACTCCACGAGATTAAATATTAGAGCCTAACACAAAGCGGAGCGGCGGTGCACTGGCACCTACAAACGTAACAGGGATACTTCACGCATTGCGCAATGCGTGAAGTATCCCTGTTATGTTTGTAGGCGCCAATGCGCGTTCAGCGTTGGCTGCCCGCCCGCTGCGCCGCGCCGCAGCGTGCCACGGCGTCTGAAGCAACTATTTCACACCAGAGGTATTGCCCAGTATCACAGGAAATTGAAGGTTCTCCAACATATTAAGAATGACGGGCATCCTTCAAAAGTACGAAGCTTTCCTCGCAAAATAAATCAAGATACTGCGGCCCAAAAAGAGAGCGGTAGTTCAAAAACTCACTAAGTCCTAGCATCCGTAATTAGTAACGTTTAGCATACACTTTATCGCCAGGCTGTTGCTTAATCGCCATCGGCTATAAAAGGCTATAAGAAATTGTGCTGCCGGCTATAGAAGCTTTATAGAAGCTTTATAGCTTTTTATAGAAGCTCTTACAGCCGGCTGTAGGTCTATGATTTTTTGGAACACAGATTCTACTGCCAATTTTTACCAGGGTAGCTTTGAGAGTTCACTAGTTACTTCACACGACTAGGGTGTAATTTTAAAACTCGAAGATTAATAATAAAAAATGTACACGATGAACGAGTTTCTCCGCCAGGGAGCTCTCCCCGCAAGAAATCCTTCACCATTCGCCCGCCGAGAGAGCCGCGGCTTGCTGCCAGCGCAAAACGCGTAAACTGACGCCAACAAACCTAACGGGCTACTTCACGCATTGCGCAATGCTTGAAGCATCCCTTTAGGTTTGTAGGCGTTCCGTTTGTCTTGTTTGTACAAGTGCTTCAAGGGCTACGTGAGCAACGCACCCGAAGACAGCCAAAGAATGATAAAATGCATATCATACTAATACAATTTTCGATGTCTTATCATGCTGACGATGTTATCAACAATCAGCTCGCAGGATTAGACACTATTCCGGGTAGATCTAGTACCTACCCAAAATCTAGATGATAATATTTGACCAATTTCTCAAAGAATGAGCACTACATTGCTTCTATCATGTTGCTCCTCGGCATTTAGTTTCTGTCGTTAAATGCTTGACTATTTTCACAAAAATATGACGCAATTTTAATCCTCCATAAAAAATATTTAATTCAGTTTTATTTCCCTTTTAGAGGACTTGACGGTTTTCAAAGGCGTCCTCTCGACGATGAAAGCGGTGGCAAGCAAAAAGGTGTTACGTCCTCTTTGTATGGTATGCACCGCCTTCCTTACTTCACTAGCAGGAAATGTAATAGGTATAACTCCGTACATGATCCGAGAGCTAAGAGAACTGGGAGCCATTGTTGAACCGAAACTCATTTTGGTAAGACTCTCATGAAGCAATTCTTTTTTGACCAGTAAACAGCAAAAATTTTTCGAAGTGTTATCAACTGTAATCATAGTCAGATGTAATGTTTAATACTAAAATGACAATAAAATGCCGGTATTGTTTAATGATAGCAAAATTGATGAATTGAAAAAATAGATTTTATGGGCGTTCTACGTTTCATTTTACAATATATCTTGGTATAAATTGGGTATAGGAGCTGCAATTCAAAATACTCCAGGAAATTTTATAGCCGGCTGTGGAAAGCTATAGAGAATCATATGGCTGGCTTTAGAAAGTGAGGATAAGCATACAGCCGAGCTATACAAAGCTATAGAAAATCATACAGCTGGCTATAGAAAGTGATAATCATACAGTTGATACGAAGCGATAAAAAATTGTACAGCCGGGATATAGTTCATATCGCCGGGCTGTACAGTTTATCGCCTAGCTATAGCTTTATCACCATCGGCTGTAAGAGGCTGTAATAAATTGTATAGCCGGCTATGGAAGCTATAAGAGATCTTAAAACCGGCCTTGGGCCTATTGTATTTTAAAATTGTATTGTATTTACGAATCACATTGCCAATTTTCAACAGAGAAGTCCTATTTTTCGTTGTTTACTTTGTCTCCTCCTTTTTAAACATGTATTAAGTCTGATTTCAGGTTATGTTTCAAATCATATTTGTGGTGGGTTCGTTAACAAATGTTGCATTCGTCCGACGTTTCGGAAAACGGAGACTGGCCCTTCTGTCGCAAGGACTCGCAGTTCTCTGTATCCTAGGAATCGGAACGTTCTGTTCATTGGCGTTCAGCAGTGCCGATCGCAGTCCTCAGCTCTCGTGGATCCCAGTTGCACTCTTCTTCTTCCTCAACTTCATCAACGGAGTCGGCGTCAGGCTCTTGCCCTGGCAACTCCTCAGTGAAGTTTTTCCACCAATGTGAGTTAAATCATCACCTTATCTACATTGCTACACACTCAAAACTTACTCGGAGATGGACGGAAGGGAAAAAGAAAAAGGAGCTGACTCCTGGTTAGAGGGACTAGGACTTGAGTGAGAGACGGAAAACTTGAGGCATCTCAGCCATTCTTTCGAAAATTTTCTTCCAATTGAACGTATTTCTGTCAAACGGAACTATGTGCACTATGACGTGAGTCGTGTTATGCATACTTTCTTATGGGTCTTAGGGCTCATGTCTTAATGCACATAGTTCCGTTTGACAGAAATACGTCCACTTATGCATGGATTTTAATTGGATTTAAATATTATATGCCTTTAAGAGTAATGCTTCAAAGCGCCTTCTCAACTGATTTACCACACAAAGGATATTAGACATTTTTTTTACAGGAGAAAAAAATTAATCTATTTAAAAAAAATACTATTACAGCAACTTGAACCGAAATAGTCAGTGCAAACATGAAATATATACATCGATGTTAGTTTCTCTCAACTAGAATTTGAATTTTTAAATACCTGACTAAGAGTTTCTGGATTTTAGGTTCTCCTAACTTTTTTTCTGTCTTTTTCCAGGGGTCGAGGTTTCGCCTCCGCGATCTCGGTTGCCTTTGCGAAGCTTATACTTTTCACGCTGATCAAAACATTCTTGATGACGGAAGACTGGCTACACTTGAGTGGCGTGATGTATCTCTACGCAGGCGTTTCCTTTTTTGGTCTCTGTTATTACTACCTATATTTGCCGGAAACTGAGGGGAAAACACTCGAGCAGATTGAATCTTATTTCACCAAGAACCACGATCGAACAGAAAAATTTAGAATTGGCAACCAAGACAGAAATACACTCTATTAAATTATTTGAATTACTTTCAACTCGTCCTCATTCACCGTCTCACTTTGTTCTCTCCACATATTCAGAATAATTCTGATCCAAGTAATTTTGTAGGAGAATCACTGTATTTCTTAAAGGATTTTATAGCGACACATTATTGCATATTTTGAGTGGACTCAACATATGAACTTTTCTCAAATTTCAAAAGTAGGAAACAACCCGGACGCGATACAAGTATTCGTGCTTGATGGATGAGGATTGTCTTGGATTGGATTGTCATGGATGAAGATTGTCTTACTTGAAGGGGGCATAAATTTGGAATAGAATCACAAAGCCGGCCTCTTCATTTGGTCTTAGGAAACCGTGCGTCTCAAAAACCAATGAATAAAAAAGTAAAATCAAATTTGTTGATTTTTTTACGTTTGTCATGATGACTTCACTTCTATTTTAATGTACGCATGTTATTTTAAAGCACACTCACCTAATAAATACAAAGTAAGAGGAGAAATATTATTATGGATGGAATTGTAGGGAGAGAACGGTAAGAGTCACCCATATTGAAGTCAAGAACGAACTGAATCAGCTTGAAGTTCGACTGATATCACGACTATTTGTACTTATAGCAGGAAGAATGATAACGAGAACGCTACATTGATCACTAAAACCAAGATAAAATTATATTTACAGAATTCTATGATAAAAAAATATCAACCGCATTATTCTGATGAATTGATTTATCCCATCATACAGGGTGTTTTAAAGGAAAAGGAGGGGTGTCGATGCCTATGGGCCGTTTTTGGGGCCACCCTGAAATTCCTCAACCACGCATGCAGCTATTCGTATGTCACGGTAAAAAAACTTTAAAAACCGCAAAACACTTTCAGATTTGAAGGGGTAAAGAATCCGGCCAAAAGTCTTAAACTTTAGTGAACCAAATTTTCTTGTTACTTCTAAAAGGAAATGAAAAATTAAACTTCACTGCAAATCGAATGTAAGCCCCTTCATTTATGATTGATGCATGGAACAGTCATGACCTGTAAGTGTGTTTAGCCCTTGCAGGAGCGGTATCCCCGCTCCTCACCTAAGTATTTGCTAAGAACGAGTATTTGCACCGTGCCCACTGGAAAAGTATCCCAGCGCCATTGGGCATGTGTCCTCTGTCCCCCGCCTTTCAGAAAAGTATCCGTATGGAATAGGGTGATTAGTGAAAATGTCCAGTCTAAAATATCAGTTATTTAAGCTACGCGAATTGTGTTCTATGTGAAATTTTGTAAAGGAATTCCAAAAGCTTTTCGCATCTTGTTCAGCCCTATATAGGGACCGCCTCCGAGTTTACTCGAGCTCAATTTTTTTTTTTGTATTTCGCGCCCTAGCAACCAGCTGAACAGTCGTAATACATCAAAATTTACGCTCATTCTGTAGGGGAGGATGTGAACTATAGCTTTACCATTTGTCCGGCAGAGAGCGCTCAACTCGGAACACGTGAGAGCTGGTATAACCATCGCTCCCCCCCCCCCCCNTGCTCACCTCTTCGTTAGTTTCGTAAACAAACCCAACAGTGTCGGCACGTTGGTCGTTGTTTGTTTCGTTTTTTTCGGGTTTTTCGCTTGTTTTTATTGTCATGAGGCTACAGAATGGCCTCTAGTCATCGAGAAACAATAAGTGATAGTGAAACATTTGATTTGGTCGCGCCAAATGAATCAGGAAGTAAATTTGAAAATGGTCCTCGTGGTGACTATGATGATGATGCCGAGGACAATCTGCCTTTGACACACATTTTAGATGTTCCCGAGAACAATAATGATGTTGAACCTGACAATGATAAAGCAGTTGATGAGGAAATTCCTGAGTTTATTTTTGACCCATCAACTATAAAGTGGACTCAAAAGAAAGTGACTGAATACAGTTCCGCGCCTCACCCTTTTTCCGTAGTGAATCCTGGACCAACAACAACCTTACTCCGGACATCCAGGAAGCTGATTTCTTCAAACAGGTATTTGATGAGACTCTTGTAGCTAAAATTGTGGAGGAAACTAACAGATATGCTGACTTTATGAAGGACAATGTGCTTCTCTGTCTGCGAATGAATCGCAAATCTTCTTTGAACTAATGGAAGAATGTGACTGTCAGCAAGGTATATTTATTCTTATCAGTTTGGTGCTTGATTGCAATCCATGGTTTGAATGATATGGAAGACTGCTGGTCACCTCGACCTATCTTGAATGTGCCCGTGTTTTCAAAAATTATGCCTCGAAATCGGTTTTTTTACATGTTCAACCTAAAGTAGATCGTCTTTTCAAAGTTAGAAGTGTGTTCAGCTTGTGCATCGTGTGTTGAGACAAACGTCAAAGAATTGTTTACGTCACCATTCACCAGTGGTGCCACCTGACTGCATGTATTAACCTGTTGAGTGGTACGAATTCAGTGGTCGGAGATTGAGGTTTGTCTACATACGATGCGCGAGCTCTACGACTACTTAAGTACGCCATAAATTTAAGTCATTGTTCTTTCTATCACAAAATGTGTGCACAGATCAAAGTCTAGTGCTGTTCAAAGGCTGTCTAAGTGTCTATCCTTCAAACAATACATATAAACTAAACGTGCACGTTATAGGGTCAAATTTTTTCAAACTCTGCGATAGTTTGACTGGTTATCTTGTTGATTTTATGGTTTTCACTGGTGCTAAAACTGAAGTCCTGGATCCTCACAAACTTGGAAAATCTGGAGCAGTCACAACAGCATTAATAAGTAGAACCATACTTCTCAAAAGGATATAATTTGTTTACAGATAATCGGTATAGTAGTCCTTCACTGTGTGCATTTCTTTTTTTCAATGGCACAAATCTTTGTGGCACAATCCAAAAAAATAGGAGGGGAATGCCTTCTTTTCTTGCAGGACTTGAGAGGGGGGAAGCAACATCAAAGTATTCCAAAAAGGAACACATAAGGCTATGAAGTTTACTGATACCTAGGAGGGATGTTTTTATGCTGACATCTATGGACGGTTTCAATTATGCAGCTGCCGATGGACTAAAACAAGGAAAAGCTGTCCTAAAACCCTTATGCATCCTCAATTACAATAAGGCAATGGGTGGTGTAGACCATTGTGTTCAGCTTCTGAGCAGTATAAAGTCGCTCAGAAGAACTAGAATATGGTACCGGAAAGTTTTTGTTCATATTCTTGACATGTGTTTGTGTTGTGTGTTATAACATAACGCACACGCTATTTATCGAAAGGTGACAAAAAAGAAGACTCTGTTGGCTGAGTTTAGAAAGCTTATTGTAGAGTAGTTATTTCAGGAACACAGTGAAGTTAAGACCCCATCAGGTGGCAGAAAAATCAGCAAACCAATGCCAACCAACATTTTTAAAAATTTTCCTGTTATGTACTGGAGAATTTTGTTGTATGACATCAAAGTACATTGTTTGAAGACCATCTCCTCCAAATTCTAATGCATTTGATCTATTAGAAAGCTCACGAAGGTAAAATAACGAAAATGACCCATTTTCGCATGAATTTCTTATCTTAAGTCGGTCCTACGGTGTACGCGCGAGCGTTTCTAACGCGGTCCCTAAATTCAAAATTCTTAATTTCGCATCTCGTCCAGTGCTCTATTCTGCCGTGCTAAGGAAGAACGCCGTATGAACATCCGAGAGTTGCCAAATTTGCTTCGATAAAACACATGCAGTTTTGATGACAATGGGCCTGTTGCAAACTTTTGCTAGAGCAAAAATAAGAGTTCTTGCTTGTAGATAATGCCTCAAAAATCACGATGAGCGCATCGGCAAAGTCTGAAATGCACTCATAACTTCACAATCTGCGTAAGAAATTTGCGTTTTTTTAAGCTTCCCGCTTCAAAAACGATACTACGGCGTAGGTGAACATTTTGTTAGAGGAGTCGCTCCATCGTCGGCGATATTCATCATGGCCGACGCTTGNGAAGTTAAGACCCCATCAGGTGGCAGAAAAATCAGCTAACCAATGCCAACCAAAATGACTGCTCTACTCTACATTTTCCCTCAGTGATTCCTGCGACATGGAATGAAGCGAGGCTGACTCAAGTTTGCCACGTTAGTGCAAACACCTTGCTTTCAGCCAAGAAAAGGAAAGAATCTCGTTATGAATGTGCAGAATGCCAAGTTTCTTTGTGTGTTGTGCCATGCTTCGAAAAGTGTCATACTCTTGCCAAATACTATAATATTTAGGTTTTAGCCACACTTTTTTTTATCTTATTTGACTTTTTTATTTACCTATTTTTTACCATTACCAAAAATATTTTTAGCATGTGGCTGGTTTTGCAAATATGTTATTAGTGTCTCATTTTTCTATTCTTTTTAATTTCTACTCTCTCAGAAATATTTTAGTGGCTTCTCTTTTTAACCTGTAAATTCTTCATCCATTTTAATTTTTTTTTAAATTTCTGCACAAACAATAATTTTTTAAAAATTTTCCTGTTATGTACTGGAGAATTTTGTTGTATGACATCAAAGTACATTGTTTGAAGACCATCTCCTCCAAATTCTAATGCATTTTATCTATCAGAAAGCTCACAAAAGTAAAATAACGAAAATGGCCCATTTTCGCATGAATTTCTTATCTTAAGTCGGTCCTACAGTGTACGCGCGAGCGTTTCTAATGCGGTCTCTAAATTCAAAATGCTTAATTTCGCATCTTGTCTAGTGCTCTATTCTGCCGTGCTAAGGAAGAACGCCGTATGAACATCCGAGAGTTGCCAAATTCGCTTCGATAAAACACATGCATTTTTGATGACAATTATGCACATTTTTCCTCGAAATTTTCAGATATTTTAGATTAAATGGCGTACCTACCTACAAAATTGTCTGAAAATTTTGGAAAATATCATTCGCAATTTTCCCCGTGAATTCGGTTTTTATTAGAGGAAACTTGGCAACGTCTGAAGGCTAATACGGCGTTTTTCCTTAGCACGGCAGTATTACACAGTTGAACTATTCTTTTAAAATTTTGCGTTTGAGTAAATTTTGTAGCGTTGAAACGGGGCTACGTTTCCTCGACCAGTGAATTGCGAAAAGGCCTATCCCTAGTGGACTTGAAAACAACCGCAGACTCAGCTCTCCGGAGGGAAATTCGGCCGCCAACAAGCGANCTCGAAATTTTCAGATATTTTAGATTAAATGGCGTACCTACCTACAAAATTGTCTGAAAATTTTGGAAAGTATAATTCGCAATTTTCCCCGTGAATCCGGTTTTTATTAGAGGAAACTTGGCAACGTCTGAAGGCTAATACGGCGTTTTTCCTTAGCACGGCAGTATTACACAGTTGAACTATTCTTTTAAAATTTTGCGTTTGAGTAAATTTTGTAGCGTTGAAACGGGGCTACATTTCCTCGACCAGTGAATTGCGAAAAGGCCTATCCCTAGTGGACTTGAAAACAACCGCAGACTCAGCTCTCCGGAGGGAAATTCGGCCGCCAACAAGCGAGCTGTGATGAATAGCCGACAGCCTTTAAACTACGCTCCACAGTGGAGGCGTTTAACCGTGGTCAGGTATTACACAAAGCTTAAGAAAACTGTTATTCCAGGAGCTGCGACCCATGGAGCGGGGGTTGTGGGGGAGGGGCGACTTTTCGGACCGCTGCCCGCGTTTCCGGCGCTCTTGCGCACCGTAANGGGGGGGGGGGGCGCAGCGCGCACCGGGGGAGGCTTTTCCCGTAGCATTGGGTCCCGGTTTCGTTAGCATTCCGACCGAAACTCGTAGCCGGCGTGGTCTCGTCGATCGGATTTCCATTCGCGAAATCGCGGTTTTCACTGTCCGAAATCGCTCCGTCGCGTCGTTGAAATCTTCTCAGCACCCGACTTAGTTGCTTGATACCGACTTTCATAGCTTTGTGCGTCCGGGGTGGTCAAGGGAAGGAACTTCAGCGTGCACACAAATCCCCCCCCCCCCCCNGGGGTCTTTCTCGTCTCGATTGTTGATCTATTCATGTCGTTTTGACTAGCCGGGGTGAAATTTTTTGAGTTCCCAGCCATGTTTTGGAATTTACGTCGGTGTCGCTTCACGAACGGAGCCGTTTCTTTCTTCAACTCCCTCAACAACAATAACAACAGCAACAACAATGCGGCGAGATCCAACAACACGAACAAAGGTAAACTCCCTTTTGTGCGTGTTCGCGAGTTGTGTGCCTGCATGCGTTCTTACAATTTTGGAAGCCAAAAAAATACAACAGAGATGATGCATTTTAGATATATACCGAATAGAGCGACACCAATTTTCGCTTCATTATGATTGACGAGGGGCACGTTTTAGTTCTCATCTTCGCATGACTATGATTGATATGAATGCCAGACGTAGCAGTTTGCAGAACATGGTTTGACAGACTGGCAGGGGGATTTGGAGAAGTTATGGAGGGAGCAATCGCCCAAAATTTTTCGAGTTGCATTGAAGAGTTGACATTTTTCTGTGGCTGTTCAATCAATTTTGATCGATTTTAAGGACTTTGTTGACATCTTTTGAATG